ATTGTATAAAGAGTCAGTTACACAGGAATGTTCAAGTCGGAGGTAGCGGAAACTGCCGGTTGTCCTATGTCTTAACACATTTGTGTTGTGTCTGTTGCGCACAGGGTCGCGTGTGTTTACACGTCACATGCTCAGATGTGTTTTCATAGGCTATGAGAATGCTGAGTCGACAATGGTTAAATTTACCCAATGTCATTAGAAGCGGTGGGTTACTAACGTGTCTGAACCTGCGACGCAAATGGTGGTGGACATAAGTCGTGGCGCTTCACCATAGGCTAGTTACCTCCCTAAGGTACTCCTAGAAAGCCAATTATTCCTTAGTCAATCATTCTTGTTACCAATACGCCCTGTTCTAAAGTACCGTTCGGTGTTGCCAGCCTCTTGGTCCTATTGAATGTACAGTCTAATTTCCAAGTGCTGATGTGAATGTTGGCATGACGCTAAATTTTGATATTTCGATCCGCCATTTCCTACGATCGTAGTTTCTAATTGCCAGATCGGTAAAACACTGCATAGTAATGTTGGAACATTCATAAAGACTTTTTAGCACGTTGACACGTACTAGGTTTGTGCGTCACAACTTTAAACGAGACTGCTTGTTCGGCAATGTGATTGCTTAATGTCTAAGCAGAACTTGAACTCCCTCACCACTGAGTTCCCAGTTGGTGAATTTAAATGCTCATTATCGAGGCTACAGCTCAGTACAGCTGTTGAAGTCCGACCTTGTGCTATCGCTTTCCATTGTTTGTTTGATGGGACCCCCACCCACGTACTGCAATACGATTTTGTGCCTCAACGAATATGTTCTCACCTTGGGGTAGCTGCTTAAGCAAACTGCCTCTTAGCCTAGTTACTTCTTTCTTTTCACAAGCTCGCCCATGTGGAAGACATGTATCGTCAACTCTGCCGTGTAAACCCAATCCGTGCGCGTTTGTTCTACCAACGTAATGTCTGCGACTTGCCTCTACCCCACGACGAGCTCCATTCTAAGGTTACGGATGGGACAGCGGACAAGTCGTTTGGCACTTGTGGGTTGCCGGTTCATAGCATCCGTCTTTTACAGACAAAATCTGTTGGAACATAGAAATTACTTTTGCTTTTTTCACAACTATAATGCGCCCAAACAAGAATGTATGTTTGTGTCGCACGGTGTAATGTATGTCTTCGTTTCTCTTTTTAACATCAAGCGATGTATGTTAATTAATGGCCATTTTTTCTGCATTATTTAAATTAATGTACTGATCCGTCTAACCGATTCTATAAATTGTCAGTAAATGCAGAGGGCGCTGTTATTTTCTTGAAATGTTTACTGTTTGCACTCTACAACTTCCACTTCTAGGCATCATCGCTGATAACTCGGCGAAATTCCATTTTTGTAGTTTAGCGTTTTGGCTCAGGTGTATGTGGTAATTTAGGATTCGCGTATGCGTAAGCTGATGGCGCTTGAAAATGTATTGAAGTAGGGGTAGATTAGAGGAGTGAAAGTAAAGCCGTTTAAGCAGCCTGTTGCTTAGAAGAGATTTGGCGTTTGAAGTTGGCAAAGGTTCGCTTTATTCTAAGGGATGATAAGTCCTAGTGCCCACATTAGATGACGGGTGAAGGAACCTGGTCATGGTTGTGAGTCAATGAAGAGTCGCAACGGTTAGGATCATGTCATAAGTACAAAGTGCTACCCCAAGCGGTGTGTAGTTTTACATCTGTTAAAAATACTTTCATGGTTTAGATAACATTATAGCCCTTAAAACAATGGCAATAGTCCTACTAACCATAACATACGAATCGTCGCAATGAGTATTTGGGTTGTAGAGATTCTGCCTTCATAGTCGACCCTTGCCTACGATAAAGTAGCTGTGTAAATCCAGCGTATATGATCCTAATACAAATCGAGGTAATCATGCCTCAAAAATTGCATTTTTAAATACTTCTGGCTAAGTCAGGGATAATGTAATCTCAAATAATCCTGAAGATATATTTGCTGAGAATTTGGACCTGTCTGATTAGCGAGTAAAGTAAGTTCTTATTGTTTTCAAGGTAAGATACAATATTATTGGTTAACGTGAAGCTGGTTAGGAGTACGTTGTATTGCTAGAAGGATGAATTGTTATGGCTAGGAAATCGATGACGTTGTCTGAACTAAAGCATTATGTGCAGTTTGTGTAACTGTAGCAAACTAATATGTGTAAAAAAGTTTATTTTGCGATTAAATCAATTGTTAAATATTTAAAAGAAAAAAAGGTTGGAGATTAATGCGTGTATCTCTAGTAGATCGACCAAAGTTGTAAGCTCAGCTAAAGATGCTAAAAGAGAAACAATATCTTAGGATCAATAAGCCTTGATTTTAATGAGTCCTGGTATATGTTACAGCGCTTAGAACTCTTAGGTAACAGATTAAACTGAGTTCATTTTAACGAGGTACCTATTTGAGTCGTCTCGAAACTAGATTTCGGAAAACCAGTGCAGTTCTAGTTCATCACTTTCCTGAATGCTGACTCAATGATAAGCTTTACATGAACTATTTGTTGAAATCAGTAACAACAGTAATACAATAAGTTTTCCTTTTTGAGCTTTCATTTGCCGAAATCTGTAAAAAAAGATCCGAACAAAACTTTGGCAATGACATAAGGCACGCGTATGCGGTGTCAGGGCCACCATGTATTAGCACCAGTACTAAAGATCTAGCCTCGCAGTTGAAATCACACAAAATTCGGGAAAAAAAGAACACAGGTAGTAGTTTTGACCGCACGTTTACCCGAGTACAAGTAAATTGTGCAGTCTTCACAGGAAGATTTAGTCGAATGATTGAGCAAACCGTTTGAATCCTAGTAAGATAATTTAGTTCTAAAAATAGTTAAAGGCCAATCTGAAAATATGCAAAGTATTATTTAAGCATCTGGGTGGGGCAGCACCAAGGTCGAATCGACAATAGAGGATTCCTCAAGGCCTATGACGATTTAAAGTTCTTGAAGAGAGCTACAAAACTCACATCAATTTTTGCATAAACGCAACTGGTCAAAATGTAACAATTTTTTTGTTATTTGAAGACAATAAGTAACGAGGATCTTCAATTGCAAACAGAGTAATTTAAAAAATGCTTAAATAACGGTCACAGTTTTCGAATGAAATAGGTTCCAGAAGGGCAAGTGAATGATTTTCTTTCAAATAATTCATAGAATGCTAAAGATAATTGTCTCCAAAAGAAAAAAAAATTATATGAGCTGCTAATGGTCTCAGCAATTAAATTGAGTGGTTAAAAATTAAGAGAACCGGTTCGCAATAGTTCCATTAACAAAAAGTTTAAATAAAGTTTGCCGATTTTAGCTAGTTAAAGAACATTCAATTCATAATTAATATCAACTTCGAATTCAGCAGCAAGACTGCACCAACAGTGCACGTTAAATATAAATTTGAAAAATCATTTGAATTTGCCAAAAAGAACAAAAAATACCAAGAATATATTTTGTATACTTTAATTGTCCGTAAAGTAATAATCGAAAAAAAAATTAAAATTAACCGAAGCGGTCTATGCCATTTTTCTGAACCACACGCTAATTTGAATATACTACAGATATATCTGTTTTGATTCAGTAAGCGTTATATGCTCTCATAAAGCATGGGAGAAATTTTATTTGATATCTGAAAAGTGATTATAGATTAGGTTAAATCAAATGACTCGGCGTAATCTATCAAAGGATGAAAAAATCAAGTTTCATCGAAGGTTGATAGATCCTGTTTCATTTCCGCTGGTAACGATGGAAAATAAAAGTCTGAGATCATCTTTGAACAGACCACACTAATGACAATAAAAACTTGACTTACGATGCAGATATAAATATTTAATATCAAATACAAAAAATAGAAGTCAACCGAGAGAATATATGAAGAATTTATTTGAAGAAAATACATTCCTTTTCTTCGAATCAACTTTTTTTCTATTATGACTTCCCGTAGGTAGGAAAATCTTATCAAGATACTTTTTCTTTGGAAGACTAAAGTAATACGATAAGATAAAACGAACCATTTCCATGGATTTCATCTTTTTAGTCACAGTTCATTACTTTTAATGAATCATATTACACGCGGCTTGTATAGAAGTGTCCTGAATGGGGTAATTTTTTTCAATCGGTATTAATAATATTAGTCATTTTTGTCAGTTGTTGTTTATGTAGTGCTTGTAACTAGTACAGAATATACTTGATTCATTTAATAAATTGGCTGCGAAAGTGCTGAAACTATTGGACTTTATATCATTGCCCTATTTGTCCAGTCAAATGTAATTACGTTTTGGTTTATGAAACCACCAGTTATAATCTTGCTACCAACGAGTTAATGGTAGCCTGTGTGTATGTCAAGAAATATCAAGAAATTTTCAGCTTAGGGATCACGTATTTCGTTTCCATCATATCACTCATTATTCGTCGATGTCATTTTTCTTGTGCTTATTTTATACAGGTTATTCTTCATTTTATTTTAATTATTTAGTTACCTAGAATTGAACTAATCAAAGGCGGTTTACAGAAAGCTGTTTTTTTATCATTGCAATGACATATTTTCCTCTGTTAATTTACCTGAGGGACAGGTCTTGATAAAGCTGATGTTTTCTCGCCGTTAGGTACTGATGTCATTCAGTTTTCATATATGATAATCGATTTTCTTATTCTATTCAGATGGCTTGTTTACTCAACAGGCATTGTTTACGAAAAAAATATTTACCTGTTGTAGCTTTTGTTGATCCTCCACCATTATAAATGCTACCATGACAAGATCGTTTTATTTTTGAAAAGCGCTTTACAAGGTTTTTGAAAACTTTATTTGCCAAATCGTATCAATACGTTAAACCATGTTAACGTAAGATTGATTTTTGTAAGACTGTTTCTACTCTGAAAACACTTTGAATCTGTGGTTTTTTATTGTACAAACTTGGCATGTTGCCATAATGATGTTTGTGTTTCGCTTAGAACTCGAAATGCGTGCTGACAATATTACCTCGTTAGTAAGATTTAATGCGTGTTTTAATTGTTTTTTTTTGTCTAAGGGAACTCCCTGTTTTTACATGCCAAGCCCATGTGTTCACAATCGACCCTTCAACGCGTAGATCATGGGTTCAAGCAAGCTCTAAAGCGATTGACATAAACTTTTTCTACGATTCAAATAAACAATGCTACCGGATTGTTAGTGTAGAAGATGGACCCGCTGGAAAGAAGGTGTGTTTTTTGTTTCTCTTTGATGATGTTATAATGTTGTTTCTTAATGTATTTTGTGCTATATATTCTCATTCCAAAAGTATTGCAACTCTACATACTTTGCTTTATATGATAGGAGTGTGAAGGTTGATGTTAGTCGTTGTTCTTCGATTTCGGTAGCTCGCTGTCACTATGTCTATTGAGCCTTTTTATCCTTTATGCCCGTTATCTTGTTGAGGAACAATATTGCATTGGGTTTTGTTGTGAACTTCATCTGTAGGTTAAGACTAATCTAAGTGTTTTAGGTATCTGCCACGTTTTGCCCGTAACCGGAACCACACGCTCAGATAACCGGTACCCCAGATCTCTTTACCGACACTAAACTCCATCTTCTCAATACTGTATCAGCCAAAGGCCGAGTGGCGCCAAAATGTGTCCGCTTATATAAGTCGAGGGGAATAATTACGTCCCAAAATACTTATTTTGCGTTTGTTTTTGATTCGAAGATAAGTGAAGCAACGAGTATCTGTATACTATTTAAAATCCATGCTCTGCTTTAACTTGCATAGTCTAACTCCAGTTCAGGGAAAGTTGACCAGTTCTTGAATTAATTCCTACAAAAAGAAACCTCATGTGCAAACTTGCCATCTCATTTGATAAACCAAGTACTTTCGAAAGTTTAATCGTATATTTCGTCATGACAGGTAAGACTTAACTGATTTTTTTGTGATTGAAATTCATCCTGATTCTTGTTACACTTAAATTATCAGTCCCCTCCATAACCGAATTGGCGGGCGATCCTCGTCATCAAACCATAGTACATGCCGTTTCTGTCAATTTTGTAGCTTGGTTGTTACTACTGCCCGTTCGTGTTTTAGATTTATTGCCAATCATAGTCTTATTTCTTTTAGGTAGTTATCAACAGCACGATAACACCTAAGATGGTTTTTAAGCAGACTTCCCAGAAGTTTGGCCAATGGGCTGATCCAAAATCCTCAGGTGTCTTTGGACTTGGATTCGATTCTGAAACTGATCTAAATAAAGTGAGTTTCCTTGAAGGCAACCAACTGCTTGCGACACATGGTAACACTAAGCAATTAACTCGATGACCACATTGCTAAGGCGGTTCCTGTGTCTACGACCAGCCTCCAGTTCTTAATGTTTGCACCAAGCCACTGAATATTGTAAGCTTAGCTTATTAGCAAATTTTGTCCGTAAGTTGTTAGTCAAAAGACTTCGATGGAGATGTTAGAGTTGATATCAAGTGGCACGAGAGACCTTCAACTTAATCCCTAGAATGGAATTCTTCAGTTGGCCTTTTGCTTCATCTTTAGTTCAACTAATTAACAACAATACCACATTTATTTGATGTTTTTTGGACGTACAAGCAAAAATCCCTTCAGTTGCACAACTAATTTAATTTAACTAAGCCCATGACAGTTAATCTCAAAGCCATAAAACCCAATTTACGCCAAAACATGTTGTGGGTATCGCGAAGGCTAAGGAAACCGGTCGGTCGTGCTGGAGCAGATTTTTTCTCGCAAATTGGTACTCGTGTATTCGCAATTCAACTAAACATGTAAACGTCGTGATTTTTTAGTCTTGGTGACTTTATCATACTTCAGTGCACTCTGTGTCGTTAGTCCACCTCCGTGTCTATCGTCCTCCTAGGAGTTTTAATGGCATAGTACAGTGTCTGAACATCATTGCATATTCACGGACTTCTAGGCACTTACCCCATCTTTCTTGTTGTAGTTTGTAACGCAGTTTAGACAATGCGTAGAATTTATGAAACAATCAACAACTGAAACCACCAATCAGAGCATAGTAAAATCGGTGAGTACCATGGTCGTTTGCCCTATGTAAATTTTCTATTGACCCTAACTTTCCCATTCTCACATATCAGTAGCCAGGACCTTTTATTAACAGTTGCTACCGTTTCTGCTCTCACATTAGCCAAGCGCTCTTGATGACCAGACATTTGATAATGTCAACTACTGAGCTAACCAGGAAAAATCGGTGATGCAAACTTGTTTTGTTATTTTGTCGCCTATCGACATTGTTTGCTTGTTATTTGTGTCATCGTGATTATTCTTTACCTCTTGTAAAACACATATTCCTCCGTACTCATAAGATTGAGTAGCGCGGTACTCCCTTGTTACAGCACCATGTGCCACTAATCCTTCAAGATGATCGAGACAGCAGAGGGGCAGAGAGACAACCGCTTATTCGAGAATTCTACAAACAAGTGATCAATGTATGCCTGTGTTTTTGTTGTCTCGAGTCCATGGCGCGAACATGGCGTGTTGATTCGCTGTGTTCTGTGTGTATTGATAGCCCAGACATGTGAAACAGCTTGAAGTGGGAGCAACTGGATTATCGAATGTGAATCAACGCGGTTCACAGTACTCTTTTCTGCATTTGATTTAACTGACTTCGAGTATATTCATTCTAGTAGGAGCCAAAAAATAGTAAGCTTGGTAAAGTTTACGTCGTGTTACTTTGAGGCTTCCATGGACGTGTGCACCCTGACGCATTCAGGTTTTTTTTCAAATGTCAGCCCTGCCAGGCGAAGAATATGCCATTACATTTTGGATTAGTTCCAGTTTGAGTTTTGCGCTCGAATCATTTCTTCTTGAAATAAAAAAACATGATATCCTCCAAAACGAGTCCACAATTGTGTCAAAAAATGCAAGTGGAGATGTCAACAATCCCCAAACTTTATCTTCATGGCTCTTGTCCGAATTGTTGTGGTTGCCGATTTGCTCCTCCACCACGTATCAAGCACACTGCCGCCGAAGTCAGGCCTCATTTGATGTTTTAACATTGTGTCATCAACAGAGTGAGTCTCAACCCTCGACTCTCAAGAACGGACAGTCAGTTGCCCCGGTATCACTGCCTGTGGTAGACCGGAATACTCTCCCTCCGCCAACTCCTCCAGGTGCCTCTGTGGTGAATGCTTTCCAATCTGGCATTGTTCCTGCCCCCATATTTTCTTCGGCTGTAACGAGTGAAAGCTGTTCCGGTGCTGATGGCCAACAGGTCATGCAGCAGCAAGCGTACTATCAGGCGCATATCCAGCGACTTGAACGCGAACTTGAGGCAGTTCGAAGACAGGCATCTAGACACGCCGATGTGAGTTTTTTTGGCAATGACACTATTGGTTGCTACCCCACTGTAATGCCGTGTGTTGAGTAGCACACCTCCAACGGTTTGCAGTCCCTATACTGAATTCTCGTTCAATGATTGCTGTGGTTGTACAGTTGTTTTGTTTGAAAATCTTGCACCACTGCGTGAACTAGTGCCAGAAATCGGAATTTAATTAATCCCAATTTCCCAGTGATTGTGCCAAAGCTATCTATAAAAGCAAGTTGCTGGCATTTTGTGTTTCAAAAATCCAGGGGAGTTGGGGAAAATCACCACCAGCCCATTAAGATTTTTACTTGTTAGATTAAAGACCGTTGACATTGAACCTAGCGGTCAATTTATTCTGCGGTTCGTCGGTATGCGGAAGCAGAGACTAAAAATGCAGCAAAATATCCTTAGCAAAGCTATCAACGAGCTGCTGAATTACTGCTTGTTCCATTTCCAATTTCTATCTTAAAATTCTCATTTTTTCCCCGATTTCATCTCATCAATGTACGGTTTTAGGTAGGTGCTGATTTGGTAAATAATTTATTTCTATGACTTTGATTTCCAGAGTTTTTACTAATCTGTTAAATTGTATAGCGTTCGATTTTTATTTTGTTGTTTATTTATCGGAATTCATCAATGGGAATGTAAAATTATTTTTCAATTTCTGATTTTCTTCATTGGTTGGCGAAATTTTGCACGTCCATGACGCTCGAATGGTATTTAAATGCATTTCATTGTACCTCAAAATCAGTTTAAACAATAAAATCAGTGCTTCTAAAATGAGTCTCAAATTATTTTTCACTGATAATTTTCGCTCATGAATATAGCTGGAGCTTCCGAGCAGGTCAGATGTATACGCGTTTAACTTTTGTTCTCCATTTCTTAAATCCGGAATTCACCACTGCCCCTTCCCCGAAGCCTTAAATACCAGGTGTTTTATAATTACTAAGGCTTGTCACGTTATCATAAGTGCTACCTTCTTAATCTATGCTTTCGTGTTGGTTTATATCGCATGTATTGCTTTATTGAACACACACTCAATTTATTCCAGATCTACATTGTGTTATTTTTAGCCACGGACTCAGAATCACTGAGTCTCAGATACAGCGTTAAGTATGTGCTCTCAAGTTGATAGTTACCACCAAAATGTACGTTTTATTTTCCAATTTTTTGTGTATATACTCGCCACAGCTTCAACATTTAGCAAACCTAATATGACTGCCTCATTTCATTTGCATTCTATTGGGGGAACATTAAATTTCAACGCCTCTATGTCATAAATAGCTTGCCCCAGTTATTAACTTGGCTGCTCTTAGTGGTTTTCCGCAATTACCACTGTGTCGGTTTGGTGGGTTAGTAAATACAGTTCGCATCGTCGCGTTGATTACAATTAGGACGTGAAGGGCAGCGCACAGGGTCTGTGGTTACTCCAAGTCCCTGTATCTGAAGTCCTCGTTTTGTAGGCTGGCAGCAGCTAAGTAGTGGATCGCGCACCAATAGGGACTTTGTCTTCTTGTGTTTTTCCGGGCCTCACAAAAGAACGAAACTCGTTTTGCAGACTATAACGATGAAATAGGGCATGTTGGACATGTGCCCAACGTCTTCATCGTAAAACTGAAACGGGGCCTCGTTGTACTGACTGAATGTCGAAGATCATGCTTATACTCAGGTGAGGCGTTCGATGCCACTTGAATAGAAAATGGCACTCATATTATAGTTTCGTGGTTTGTGTAGGCGATCCCTTCCACTCAATTTCGAGGCCGCTAACCTTCACTAGACCCATGCACTGACTTAATCATAAGATGTACTCAAGCGTGTTGCGCCAAGATACAGCACCTAGTATCCAAGGGAGGAAGAAGACAGCTATTTTTTAGTGCTCGCCCGAGTCGTTGTGCGACGTCTGCGCGTGTGTATTTATGGTTCAGATGTGTGAAACGGCGTGAGTCACAGATGTACTAGCATCGGGACTTGTGTGTGTGTGTGTTATCACACGTAGTGATAAACCAAGATAAAAATTCGCTCTGATGACGTGTGAGCTGAGGTGCTATTTGAGTGGTGGCATGGTGTTAAAAGGGGAGCAGTGTGTTGGAGAGCGGAGCGACCGGATTAATGGGCCTGAAACAGCAAGATTCACAAATGGTGCTTGTGTCGCCTTCTTAGATTGTATCGGTTGACTTTTCACCCATATTTATATCCGTAAGAGAATTATTTTTCCATCACAGATTATTGGTGGAGGCAAGATTTTTAGTGTTACGATCAGGCAGTGCAATTTATTTAGGTCCATTCGTAATTCTTTTAACATGCAGTTGTATTATTAGAATTGATAATCTCAATTGGCTTATCTTCCTGAAACATTAAACCATCCGAAAAATCTATGGACAGCTTTCGGGGCTGCTTTGTTGTTCAATTTTTCTGACTTCATGCCAATCTCACAACCGAAGAAAACGAGATAACAAGCTTATTCAAAATAACCGAATTTGCTCGGAGTTTGAACCTATCTAGTGGTAACCTCTATTGTGTCGGGCAATGAATAACACACTGGCTTTGCATTGGACCCTGTACGACTCATGGATTTTGTGGTTGTCGCGTTTTTCCAAGGCCAGTAAAACATTCAAAAATATTTTCGACCACTTCAAGGGCATTCAAAATAATCTTAGGTGTTCTTGCTAGTGTGGCGAACTTGAAGCATTTTTGAACGTGAACTGTTGGCATGAAAATCGGTTTCAATACTTTGCCCTTGAAAAACAAAGTCATTATTGAATGTTCTGCTCAGGTGATTTTAAATGCAATACTACCGACACCTATGTAAGCACAAACCATTGAAATAGATCCGTGAAGCAGGTGATGAAGGCAATCCTAGCAAGTGTGACCTAATTTTGCATCCAACTCCGGCACAGTGTAACTTAATTTCTTGTTGCATTATTTTAAGCAACAAGCTGCTTTTTTGGCCTCTTTATGGGCGTAGATGTATACATAATTGCATGTTAATTGTTGTATTAAAATATTTTGGTCAATTTGCTCTAGTATCCTTTGTGAAATTCCATACCTCTTTTTGGCACTAAAATGATGAGTCGTACTTCAAAGTAGGTAAGATTCGTTTCGTTGCTGCTTATGATACAGTGATTTTAAAGTGTGTTACGTGTGAACCTACTTACGCACGCAATATTGGGACTCAACTCTGCATTGGTTTCAGAGCGGTCATGCCAGTTCCCCCTTGAAATCAAACTTCGAAAATGTCGACTTGCGCGATGGTCTGGACCGAATACACTTGGCCTCGTCCTCGGATGGCGGCAGCACCACCGGAGGCAGTTCCCTCGTCCGCAAACTTCCCCTTCTCTCCAGTGGACTAGTAACGCCGCTGGCGCACGTCGAAAAGGTTCCCTCCTCCGAGCAGCTCGTGGGTGGGGACAGCAATGTGCCCTCCGATAGCACGGCCATGCTGCTTAAGTTGCACGCTCGTCTGGGGAGCATTCTGCGCGACGCCTGTGACCTGCACAAACAAATTGGCTTTCTCCTTTCTGCTGCATCCGGTCAGCCGACATGAGAGTCCTCTACATTTATCCTCACTCTCAACTGACAACTCAGTCCTCCACTTATCATAAGATTTACTGTTTACCAATTGATTGCTGCATGTCCTTACTGTGTTCTACCAAAATCACAAAGCAGAACCAGTGTACGAACCTATTAACTATTACAAACAAAACGGGGCCTCCTTTGCTTTCCTAGCTTGGATTTTTAAATGGGTAAGGTTACAAAAGCCGAAATTTTAATAAATTGGAGGTTTGCACCCCAAAAGACGGGAATGTCACGACGATCGCGATTATGGTCCGCATATGTTTGCATGAAGGGAGTATTGAGTGGTTGATAAACGTAGTGTCCGATTTTTGTAGATGGTTGACATTTCCTATATGAACGCTTTATCTGCAATTTTCTAACTACACAGTGAGCCAACGTAGTCCAAATATGTTTATTTGAAATCAGAGTACAGTGTTGTTATTCTCAAAAAAGACCTGTGGTAGAGATAGGTCAAAAACTCAAGGCGTATATGTAGATCGTGCTCCTGTTCTTAGAAGGGTTTTGAATTGGTCAATTCACTTTAAGCGATCTTTGCTTTTGGTGGCCTTCCGGCATTGCTATTGACTTGTTGCGGTCTCGGATTATTTCGGGGCCAACAGCTATAAATCTGACCTGATTACGTTACCTTGCTATTCGCAATGATGGAGAAGACCGGAGATGACGTGGATACAGCCATTTGTATCAGTGCTTAATTAAGTTGGTGTCGCCCTGTCGTGTGTGTTATCACATGTGGTGATAATGTAGGATAATCATCCGAGCTAATGTAGTGTGATTTGAGATTCCGCTCGTTTAACGGCATGCTGTGAAAAGGGGGGGAACTGCCGCGATTGGAGCGACAGAATTAAGGAGTGTGAATCAACGAGATTCACAACAGACTACCTGCAATTTAGTTAATTATAATGCGTGAATTGCAGCCGACGAAACGGTTACAAGGCTAAATATTGACAATTCGACAGCTTTTAGCTAGCTAAAGCAACTTGGACGCACTTCGAAACTATATTTGGTTTCAGCACGTCTTCAGGCAAACCGTGTTTACTCAGCCATTTCGAGCCAAAAAATAAACCATTCATTGGATCAAAGTATAAATAGCCAGTAGAGGTTGTTAGTCTACACCAATATAATAATAACACGAGGCTGAAACATGAAAGTTGCATGTTTGAAGAAGGCTGAATAGTATACATAGAAATTGCTTTGCGAATGCCAAGGAAAGCCCTTTTAAAGGGGTTCTTTCATGTTGCCAAACAAATGTGGGAAGTAATGTGAATACCTCATCTTGGAAGATAAAAGCGGAAACCTAGCACCGCCTGTGCTTGAAGCCTCGGATTTTTATCAGTTTTGTTCACTGTAAATTAAAAAATAAATTTTGATACTAGTTAAAAAATTATCTCCTGATTTTCCTGGAATAGGCACCACCGTATTACAAATTCAAACGCGTGGAGTCAGTCATAGATAATAGTTGACAGAACATAGCCTGATAAGTACTACGCTTTGATGAGGCAACATGCCGGCATAGCCAGTTTTGCAACTTAATGATTTGTACTTGCGCTATGTAAGAAATTCTGAATGAAAATGCGGTTGCGAGCCCTCTCATGGCCCAAACTCACAGCGTTACCAATGCTTGCACCGACCTAGCCACCACCATTACAGCACATGAACATTGTGCCTGATTTTAGCCCTATGTAAAACTCGCAGTCCATTCTCACAAGTTTCAATTGATGAAGATCCGGGCCCCTGTGATGTCGATGACTTAGGATCACCCGAAACAATCTACGAACTTCAGCGTTCCCACTTCCAACTGACAGCCTGTTGACCATGGGGTACATTGCACCCAAGGGCGCACGTTCATGTCACAATAACTCGACCTCCCTATAGAGGAAACAGGAAGACGAGCTTGCCTCTACGGAACCAACAATTACCCAACTCCAAAATTACCAACTCATTTACAGTTACACCCCAAGTTGGTCCCATAAACGAACAACCAAACGAGGGGTATCCAACCCTTAACCATGGCGAACTCAACAATAGTGAATTCCAAATGGGTTGCTTTATTCAACATCAAGCATTAACGGTCAGGTGTGCTTGAAAGAAAGAAATGCAAATTGACGTAGCTCCAATGGCGTTAAGCTGTGCAAGCACGTAAGCAGGAAGAAATGAGCCTTGAACTATACAAGTGCGGCGGATGTACGCAGAAACAAGAAAGCTAGAAAGTAGTTGACAGGAACGACCATGCACAATCGACAACATTGCTGTAATAGTTCCAAGGTGGGAATTAGCATTGCGATTCGATGGGGGCATGGCTGCCAACTGTTCCATTATTCTCAACATATTCTCTACGCCCATGGAAAGAACCACGCGGATGCCCGCGCCCACGTACACCTGAAATCAAGACATGCTTTCTATTATTACGAAATAACTTAAACAAAAAAATTGAACAGAATAACTATTACAGTGGCAGAGAAAGTATCGGACACACAATCAAGCAAGGTGAAATGAAAAACCTGGCGAAAACCGAGAGCCAAATAGTACGTAATAATGCTCAAGGAAAGGAGCCAGTTTGGCAAACGATCGCTCAGACGCATACAGAAGTTTGAAAAGGAATCCGATTTTATATCCCTGCTACTAGCACTCTAGATGAGCAAGAAATCATGTTCGTTTCAATGATACTTTAACAAGACCACGTTAAACAGCTGCTAAGTAATCATAAAACGATTTATGAGAACAAAAAATGAAGTCTTATAATGCAACATGATCAATGAGATAATGCATGTTGCCCAATAGCACAACACCAAATGTCTGCTTTAAAAGAACTGATCACTTTTCAGCTTGTTCAGAACGACAATATTACGATTGACGAAACTAAAGAACTCACCTCTGTATGACATTCCACCCGTTCCACGGCCTCTTCCGCCACCACGAAAACCCCTTCCACCTGGTCTACTGGCGTTCAATTCACCACCGCTATGGGTCGGGCGAGGCGGTCTGTGACTGCGAGGCTCTTGATGCTGCGTAGGCTGGCTCCGGATCGGAGGTGGGTCATTATTACCATTTTGGACTCCAGTGGACGGAGGCACAACCTCATTTACTTGATTAGTTGCAGCTCCACGAACCCGATCAGCCCATGTCATTTCCGCATGTTTACCAGTTTGCTGTTGAGGGACCTCCGCGTCAATTACATTCTGTAAAGGGGCCATACGAGACTGATCCTGTTGATGCTCTTTGAGTACTTTATTGGCGCCACCACGCCTTGATTTCTGCTTTAACTTTGGTTTTTCAACGACTGGTTCGACAGGCACTAGGGAGTCGCCATTGTTTACCGCCCCAGTCGACATTTCCTCTGATGGTGGCGTCAACGCATGGTTAACTAATTGAGGTTCTGGTACGTTGACCGAGACGGGTTCCTGTCGCTTATCAAAAGTGTCGGATTGATGGAGAGTTGTAGCGGGAACATGCGAAGAGACAGGTACTGTTGCCCCAGACACTTGAGGTGAAGACTGTTGAGGTGGTACCGGATGTGGGGGAGGTCGGGCAATTGGGTGAGACAAGTCATACACCACGGAAACCGGACCAACTTGCGATGCCTAACACACAAACAACCGTAACTAGGTTGGCAAACAATCAATATGCATACAACTCGAAAAAACCATTTACCAGATCCACAAAGCATTTTCCTTACCACTTAAAAAAAAACATTAAAAAGAACGGCGAATTCTTACCGGTTCAGTGATTAGAATGACCATTATGCACTCGAAAACAACAACTACAGTTCGCCTATTAATTATCTTTGACCTGGCGAGAGTAACACACACTGCCGTTGGTTACTCTCATGTAAAACAATATTGCAGAGGTCAAGCGCGTGACAAAAATTTTAAACGCTGTCAGAACTGAGCGTTTGGAGCTAAAGGCTCCAGCTAACACAACTGTATCAAAATTTTACGTAATGTGACGACAATAAAGTTTGAAACATACCTGAAGAAAGTTAAAGTCCGTTTTTAAAGGATTGATAACACTGTCAAGTATTGCCTCGGCAGGAAGTGGGTCGGTGAAAGACATTGCAGACTGCATGGTCACCTTTTGGGGCTCTGGCTGAGTGACAGTTTCGACCGCCACTGTGGGTGCATCTGTGACTTCAATTGGCTTTGACTGATCATTCACAGGAGCAGTTTTCTTTTTTGCAAAATCAGCGGATAGGGACGAGAGAGCCGATCGCACATCTTCATTCGCAAGAAGATTTAAGCAACATTTACGGATTTCGGCAAATGTACGCGAACGAGACTTATTGCTCCTGCTACCAACAGAATTTTGCGATCCATCCGCTAGTTTATACAAATACTCAGCTTGTTGACGGAATAAATCGCCTGATTCGATTTCGTCTACAGTGACCCCTTGAGGAAGTGACACGGTAAGGGATTTTGATGCATTCTCGAGTATGCTCAACTCCCGCGATGAAGAAACCTTTACAATAGCCGCTTTTACGGCTGGTGACTTTATCTTCGAAAGAACTTCCAACACAGGCCAAAGCTTTTGGATAATATCGACAGCATGCTCGACACGCAGGAACTCCATATATTTCTCATTTTCCTTTACAGCATTATCGACTTTAGCTTGAATCTCGCCTAATATGTCAGAGGTCTCTTTCAGAGCCTCTATTAATTGACAAACAGAATCATATTCAGCAACCGCCTTCTCTTGATCACCAGTTAGAGATTCTCCTTTGCGCAACATTTCTCGATACGTTTCCAGTCGAGCCTAAAATAATATAATGAAATAAAGCTAGTACCTTCCGTTTCATCAAATTTCGCTGCTTCTTTTCCAAATTACTAGCATACTCGACCATCAAATCACTCGGAGAGACAAGACCGTCCGCCATCCCGCAAATAACCACGCAGATAAAGTGAAGTTGCAACAGAATTACAGATTTTCACCAATTAAAACAACACCATGAGTCAACAAAAGTTTGGTAGACTAAAAGTGGTTACAATTCTTTTGAACACTTTCACCTTTTATTTTTTTATAAGATTTGCATCCTAGATTAAACCAGAACCAAATGATTCGAAATTAACCCCAATATGGCAAATGATGTAGCAGACTGAATGTAAACCTAGTTACTTTTCTCTTTTCACAAACTCATTCATGTGAAATACATATGTTGTCAACTCTGCTGTGTTACCCATCCGTGCACTCTTTTTCTACCAACGTTTTATCTGTGGCTTGCCTCTACTCCACGACGACCTTCATTCTGCACATCCTAATGCCTTAATTATAAATGTATCCATTTTGATTTCTGGGAGTCTATTCCACTAATTTTACCTAAACAAACTATTACTTATAATTGATTTTACTGTGTTACATTGTGATATTTAACAAGGTAACTTCACATTTCAACACAGAGAAAAAACGAGCTCCGCCTTTGGATACTGAAATTCACCTGCTTTAATTTAAGTGGATTTAGTGAATACTTGTGCTTCTTTTTAAAAAATTTACTGTTTGTATTTGCCTCGGCTAGGTGTGATACTGTGCCTTTTTTAATGGTATGCAAATTACTTCACAATTTATGTTTGTTTTATCAATTTAGTGTTTCCTATTTGTTCTCTCTGAGACTTGTGTTCGATTTACCATGCAGATGCATTATTTTGAATGCAATTTAGCCAGTTCGCAACATGATTTATGCTGAATATTATCGGCTATTCGTAACTCACAGATGTTACGGATTCGTTGCTGGGGTGCAGCGTTTTTTGTTCTCAGACGTATAATCCACCGAGAAACAATAAGTGTTCTCAAAGAATAACCAAAGACGATCGTTAAACGACAAACTACTTTTAAACACAAACTCAAAAGTAGATACTTAAGCACTTTTCGTGAAAATATTCGACAATTTTGTGTGAAAAATCGAGCGCAATCACTGTTTCAACAATCAAGACTTTGGATTTTGCTTTCTATACCGGTACAAGTCACAGCAATGAAATTTTTTACATTTCCATGTGCACATCCGTACAACAAGACCCACCAAAATTAGTTCACTTTCGGATATCACATTTGAAAACAAAACAACTTTGGTGGGTAAACGAATGAGTTGGTATCCCCGGATTGCTATGTGTTACCGATCCACTGGTCTACAAAACATGTGAACACAAGATTGCAGATGTGACAACACCATTAATCCAATCCAAAAGCGCTTAGTGCTTGTTTGTTGAAGTTGTTTTGACGACATCGTCAACCATGTAGAGAAAATAGTCATATTTCTTGAATCAAAGTTCCATGAAAACTAATTCCCAGTATAACCATCGCCATTAAAAGAGGGCAAAAATGATTGCCATCCAAAGGATAAGTAGTGGAATATTCTGCTCAGTTCCAAGGAAATCCAAGCTGGATGCACACACACAGCCAACCAATCAGGTTTCACTGATTTCAACCATTAACTCAATGTCAAGTACTTTTCACATATTATAAAGCCCTCGAAACCAGGTAGACATATATATACTTAGTGTCAAGTATACATTATTTTAAATAACAGAAACACCTGAGTAATCCCAAAACAATATATTGTTATCTAATTTAACCTCGTTGTATCGTAGTTTCTCTTTTGTAAGAAAATGAATACCACTCTGTTTGTAATTTACGGAAGACAGACATTACAAAAATATTTGCATAGAAATAATGCAGCACTACGCTTATGTATCTACAAAAAAGGAAAAAGCGACTTAACGTAACGTGGAATTTCTGCTTCAACTGCTTACTAACAATGAATTGACATATTTTTGCGTGTTGCTACGCATCCCATAAATCGAGAATTATGTACACCATTAAAGTCATTACTCTCACCGTTAAACAATCATAACATGAATTTCATGAGAAACATAGGAGCCACATAATCTTTTTATGCAAGCCCCGTCGGTCTTTTAGACATCATTCCTTCATTGTCGAACGTTTTGCGCATAGGCAAGCAGCCTAAGAAGGAATTGAGTGGAGGAAGTGGTACCAGGTCAGCGAGGTCAGCTTTGCCACTTTTCTGGACACCAGGACCACTATTTGCAGTCCTGTGCGTTATTTTTCGAGGGTATCGTATTTGCCGTGATGCTTTATGAATGGAGGCTGTGTCATGGTTCAGGTCATCAAGCATTCCAGTGAGAAGAGCCTGAGAAGCACTAGTAACGGGGGCGATGGGACCGTCATCCCATATGCAGTCGAAATCACCAATACGACGCTCATTACCGCTAAGACGACCTTCCATGTCAATTACGTTCAGAGTATCATCCAATAATTTCACCTAAGGGAAGAAAGAAACCTTTAGGGGATGGAAAAGGACGAATAACCAACGCTGCACACAAATACAGAATTAACGATGCAAACAATAATCAGTTAATATAGGCAAACAAACGATATTTTTAGTTATCACCAAATTAGCGAAATTTGCTATTTGAATATCAACAACAAATGATATTTTGACCACGGGATAAAGACCCACACGCTTAACAGGAAAGATGAGTAAATGTCATTTACGCGAAAATTTATGGAATGATAATTTATCATCCAGTAGATATTTCGTGGATTTTTGCCTTGAATACTTCACCCCCTGAGGAAAAAGGCAAATTTGGACATTTTATTAATCTGATAGTTACATTGGAATGATTTAAGACTCAATTAAATTCAGAGATAAATTTTATGAGTTCATGCTTAACCTAAAAAACTTTAGCACCCTGATGACAATAAGGAATTTATTTGACTAATATGAATGGATTCAAGATGACAAGGAATTTCACTCGTTCACGAACGAATTAGCTGGCCTTAAATTTAACAGTTTTGACATGATGCTAGAAAAGATTGGGTGGTGAACTTGTGTAGTTTAGCACATGGGAAAGACTTAAGGAGGCATTTACAGTTTCCCTGCTTATGTTTAAAACATTATTTCATGGCACATAGTCCAGTAGTTGAATAACCGTAATCATCAAAAAATACATTGATAGACCCAAGGAAATGAGAGAACCCTTAGGCGAGCAAAGAGCAGGTGGCACGGAAAGTAAAAAAAAAAGAAAATGAAACACACGTTGAGGCTATGTCAGTCTAAGGCGAGAGATTAGACTGATTCATTTGTAGCGGCTTCGTTAGCATTACCTTGAGACCATGCTAGTTAACAATCCGTACCAAATCGAGAAGAAGAGAAAGACGGATGATAGCGAATATAACGCTTTACTGCATTTGACTACGTAAGTCTTTCACGGCAGAGTGCGATGACATTCGAGCAAGCCATGAATGAGCTCCGATCACGCTCGTTTGATAAGTTCACTACACATCCTATTCGAAGTGTCCACTGTGAAAACAAGGCGTGAATGGCTGCATAGATACGCACCTAAGGAAGCTATCATCAGAGTTTGAGAGATTATTTCAGAGCAGTTACGCATAGTGATTTATGTTAACAAAACAAAGCTCAGAGGTTTCGATTTGGTTACATTAATATTTGCGGAACCATTACCAGTCATAGGCTGAAGTTTTAGCTTGATTAAGAAGTAATCAAGTTATTTAAACAAAAACTCTAGAACCTATAAAATCAGATCGCAATTTGAGACTGTATGCGTGAAAAAATACACTAAGCTTTCAGTGTGGCAGAGCCGATGCCAAAACAACTTGAGTCTCAGAGGCATTGGATCGATAATGATTAAGGTGCCAGCCAAATCAGCTGTATGTTAAGAGGGAAACGTGAACCTCAGGATCCTGCACGAATGGCAGCAGCGAAATTGAGGGTGGAGGGACAGACGTTACCTTAAGTGCGTAGTCTTCATTTGAACTGGCGGTCAGGGACGGTGAGGCATTTACTTCGAGAAGCCAAGGCTTAAGGTTTTCATCCAATAGAATATCGTAGCCGTAGAGTTCAAAGCAGTGCTTGTCGTTTATCATTATATTTTGAACGCTCAACAAGCTTAGAACGAAGATACTGTCAATTTCATGAAAGAGCCTATTTACCTGGAGAAGAGCACAATGTAAGAATTATTTTGGTTGAGACTTTATTAAGAAAGAGAAAAAAACACCAATAAAAAGTCTACACAAGAAAGAGATTGCTATCAAAATATTCGCAAATGCAGAAAATAGGAGTGTTTCGTGGGGCAAGACTAACAAACGAAGTAAATAAATGCATACAACTTGGGTAGAAATTTTAGTCAACAGTGTTTTTTCGAGATAGATTCAAACCACCATTTCATCGTAAGCTGACAAGAAAACGATCTTCACCACAAACAAAACCTTCCATCACAGGCCAACCATTCTTAAATAACGTCAAACAATATGACTAGGTGTAGAATTTCTTAACCTTTCCCCAGAATGCTCTACGAAATCTACGTAGTCCTCCTCCTACAAACGCATAGTTAGATAACAGAATGGTAGCATAAATGATTTATCAGTAGGGCTAGCAAACGCTAATCTCTTAAGGATTGTGTTAAAACGACTCATGAATTTTATTGACTGCGCAAAACTGAATTGAAATCTCGACTTCAGCTCAACATTTATTGTGTTGAGCCGTATGAAATGACTTGTTCAGTTTGTCATTATACACGCACCGACATGTTATAAATAAAAAACCACACAACAACTATTTGACTTTGACTACTGAGTGAATAAAGAGACGCGGCCTAGAAATCATTGGTCTCTCCATAACCCACTGGGTTTCTAATGGCTTTATCGTGTCCGAACGATGGAAAGATACGTGTAACTTTGTTCAGTCTTGCTAACTAAATTCATAATAGCTATCTTGACTATTTTTAAAAGTATATTTGCTGATATTTTTAGAGAGGTGGTTATTGCAAATAAAATGGAGATAAGATTCAAACTGATTAAAATGGCTAAAATGTCATAATACGTGTCAACGGAAGTCTTTGAATTAGTAACATCAGGGCAATAAATAATACTACCTTTGAACCAAAACAGAAAAACTAGAAACATTAGGGCTGCGGTAACAAAAACTAGTGGGGGAGACTACTTAAATTCAAACAGTAAAAACAAGAAATCCGCCTTGTATTCGTCTTCTCCCTAATTACTTATCATCGTCTAAAACCACGAGAAATGAAAGCACCATGACCATGACGTTACGACGCATATGATAGGGGGCAAATTTATTGGCTACAAAGGCATCAAGGCCAACAGAGAAAAAGTGGGAAGACTAACCCTTTCAAATCCATGTCTGGCAAGCAAGTACCGCCGAAGACGGCAAATGGACCATTTGCAACCCTTCATCACATCGTAGTCTGGGGCCATCTTTTGAATTGCAACGTTAGTTAAGTGGACGTCTACATATCGAGTTAAAAATTAAAGTAAATATTCACTGTTATGACAAAAACGATGATTTCGAATAAATTAGGTAAGGCAGTTCAATGTCTAAACGATTCACACTTCTAAAGCAAAAAGGCCTCACAAACGTGGTTCACTACCTTAACGAATACATGAGAAGTGGAAGCGTAATCAGTTTTTAAACGCTGTGCATGACTATCAGAAATATTTGTCAGGTCACCAGATAAATATTTGAAAAAATTCGGCAGATATTAGGTAACAATTTCATATAAGGGCGCACAAATTTTTAATTTACAAAATGATTCACAAAATTAAGATCGCGTTTGCGTACACATGAAACGAACTGCTAACTGTTACGAGCACGGCAGCATTAACGACAGTGTTACTTGAATGTTTCTGGCTATACAAAACTCATGGATAGGAAAAAATCAGCGAGATCTAAACTTTTCGATGAAACAAATACACAGTATTTGTTAAGCGCCAATAAAAACACAGAAAGACAAGCCAGTACTGGAGCTTGGTCAGAAGGTCGGTAAACTAAGAGATCTTAAATGAGGTCGCACATTTAGGTTAGAAAATACGTGATGCTAAGAGCACGAAAGAGTCATATAAACATCCCAAAGTGACGTATTAAGTACAAAAGAAATTAATTATAAATAATAACGATACATTGGTCAGTAATTGAATCCATCGAAAACCCGACATTTGAAAGTCTTGCAAATCCATCACGATACACCCAGGCCTTTAAAGGTTGAAACTAAAAAGGGTAAAGATAAAGTGGCGCAGGTCATTTAATCGATTGCACACGAGTTTAGCCAAAATCGACTCTAACTAGTGATTCCTAAAAAAAAGGATCAGAAAGACCTCTGCTGGCCATGTCAAATACACATTTACGATAGCGTAAACTTTCGAGATCCTAATATTACCACAATCAAAGCGCTTTCACGAGTCTGGCCACTTGTTTAGAAACTCCTGAAGACTTCTCAGGGTACCATAGTCTTAATGGGAAATTTAACACGATTTTACGTGATGCCTACAACCGCAAAGCATAAACAAAGGAAAACATTTCGCGAAAGATCTGGGGCATTTAAACGACAGCAAGCCTTGAAGAAGATGAAAATTTGAGCTTGCCAAAGTGATTTCACCTATATTAGTTAAGAAGTTTTTAAACGGGCTAAACCCATTAAATTAGCCTCCGCAAAATAACGGTTGATTGGTAATGATTTCCTCGAAAAAGGTTGATAGTAGAATTTCATAGTCGATGCTGGGAACCATGGATCACGGGTGCAAAGCTGTGCGAGAATGCGGTTTAAAACTTCAATAACAAAAATTAAAATAAATAATCCGAGGAAAAACCGAGACAGAGTCTGTGAAGGTCAGATCAAGTTTTTAGTTAAAGGAATGTAAGCAAAATTTTCCGGAGGTAACATATTGATTTTATAGATTTGGGGACTCACTGATGTCACAAGTACGTACACACGCAAGTCAAATTTTCTTCCGCCAATTAAATAAGGGTTTTCAATGTAGCGCGAGACCACATAGTGTTCAGGCCCCTCTTTTCCGTCGCATTCTCCTGCGTTATCATTCTGAGAGACAATGGAATCAAATTGAATAGATACAAACTGCAGAGCTCGGACATACCTTCACAAAATAGTTAAAATTACCACCCCGCTTCCAAGCCTCAATATCTTTCAACCGGCGAAAGAGGAATATTCCCCGGCCCTGCGATTTTGCTACTGGTTTCATGATCCAAATTGATCCAGGATTTCTTTTGAAATCCTCTAGAAAAATGTGGTACTCCATCTGATAAAATATATGAGAAAAGATGCCTAAAGTGATTTACAGGTAATTCGAAGGTGGTTGGAATGAAGTTGAATCTATGGAGGATTTGAACATAAAAATATCCGGTTAGACTTGCATGTCCATATCTCGCATCCCAGTTTCTTTTTCAAATCTTTTCTTCGCCCTCTTGAGGTTTTTAACCATTAGATTTTTTCTTGTAAGCTATGTCAGAAAAATATTAAAATCACATAAACTAAAAAACGATGACAAACGAATAATTTAAAAAAGCATAGTCTTAACAATTTTAAGTTACCTCGAAGTGGTTCCGGAAATGGCACAGTCTAACGTGGTCGCCCAAAAATTTGCGGTCGAAATTGTCTCGCATCCACTCAATGGTACACCAGAAGAAGTCAAAATTTTCATCCTCTCTGTACCAATAAAAAATCTCCAAACCTACGAACTTAGTTCTTGCCAACCTCTATTTCGAAGAACGTCAAGAACAGTATTGTTAAATGAACATCTAAATTTGATGATGCTAAAAATAGTACACAAAAGTGAAGAACATAAATCACTCTACCCTCTGGGCTCAACTATCTTTTTTGGTATGGATTTCATGCAATAAAACGGGAGGGCAACAGGAAATGCAAAGCAAGGCAATGAAAGTCAGCGCGGAACCAAAGCTCGCGCTGCTTTCTTTGCTGTGATACCAAGGAGACTAAAACAGGTAAAATATATATTTTGAATTTATGGCATTACGTGACACTGTTTTAATGACAGCGAAACAAACAAGGTGTAAAGAAGCAATTCCACATCTCTCTGTTAATCAGAACACAAGAATACTACGAAAGCTGGTGTCTGAATTACGTAGAAAATATATGTTCATTTATCCAAAATTGCACCGGCGCACAAGCACTGAAATTGTGGCCAAAAAATATATTTTTATATACGTCTAAAGTAAGGATAAAATTGGGCCTTTTGCTAATTTATCACACAAAGCATTGATTATATTTTGATAGAATATATAACAAAACACATGTTCGATAAAAAGGCCCAAACGTTTGCTTCTGATAATAGACACTTTCCATACCAAAAAATCAATCAGCCTTGCAAAATTGACTTTGTTTTCCAAAGAAGCGTCATTAGCTGTGAACAAATCAATGAATCGATCATTCTAATCGGTTTTGCAAATACAATTTCTAAGTAATAAATGTGTATATATGATATTATTGAACATTATGCCTTATTCATTCTTTATCTTCCTAAAATCTTTGATAAAGTCGCACATTGTTTTACTATCTCACTGTAAGCATCAAAGGCCATTGATTTTTTTTGCTAATGCTAAAGTGTGATTGAGAATTGTTTGTTACATAGTATATTCATTTCTTTTTGGCCACATCTCTAAATGCCCTTTAGTATCATGTAGCTAAGAGCGTTTTACATCTATATAGACAGTTAAATTTGTGTCTTGTATTCTTTCTTGCACGCAAATAGACTTGATTTAGTCATTAGACCGCTTGGAGCTTCATGCTATTTGTCATGCTCGTTTCAATTCTTGCTTTGCTCCTATTGGCTTTTTTAGAAACTAGAATAATAGAGCCTATTACCATTTCATAGTTGATTAGCGATATATGTTGTTGCTCACAAATTCGTTCTTGTAGTCTTTAATTTTGTGTATGCAATGCATAGTGCCTCAGTTTTGTGTAATTGCTGTATTATATGTTAGAAGCGTGCGTTGTGGGTAAGATGCAACTGAGCGCTCTAGTCCTCTTTGTCAACTTTAAATGTTTTAGCATCCATTTTATATACCATAGAAAGAATCGTCGGCTGTTGTTTGAAATAAATATCAGCAAAAGTGCATGCTTTATAAACATGGCCTTTGGAACTCTACGATCACTGTGTGCAAAACACTTTAAAAGCCTTTTTGCAGTCAGATACTTTTTTGCGCACACTGGTAGAAAATAATGGTTTGTTTACGTGTCTATCAGTATTACACATCAAAGTAACGAGTATTATATATTTAGGTGTCGTTTTACAAACTAAACCTGAGACGCTCTAATAATGTTATCAATGGCTCGGGAAGATGTGTTAATACCTCCAGCGCACTCTCTTCAAGCACTTTGGGACGTCTGTCGTCGTGAGAAACTAGGGTTTTCTCAAAAGGTTGTTGATGAAAGGGGTCTCCCACATGAGCGGATTTTTCATGTACAAACTACAGTGACCGGATTTCATAACATGACCCAAGATCTAAGCTTTGATGGCTTTGGACATTCAATTAAGCATGCCAAACGAAATTCGGCATTTTCTGCTCTTTCGTCAATTACACAAAAAGGAATGACTTTGGTTGGCAAATCAGTGAGTTTGATCTCATGATTTTCAAATAATTACCGTTTGGGTTTCGTTGATTTGTGAATTTTTTTTTGTTTTGATTATCAGTTTGTCTGTTTCTATCTCTTCAAAACAGTGTAAATTTTTAACAACTTATTCACCTCTCTGATCTTTTACAAAGTATGGTAAATTGAGAATGTGTGCAGTTTTCCGAAAACACTAGAGCTTTTAGTCGTTCACTGTTGAGCACAAAAAGTACCTCTGTAAATTAGTTCAGGTATGCTTTGAACGAAGAATTTTGAGTTTAAAGCCATTTTCTTGAATCGTTTAATTAATGCTTATAGGTCAGTTTTGATGTCTCGTCATTTGATGTAAGTTTGGTTTGATTAATAGGAATAATGTTTTTCGCTTGTTGAAGTGCACAGTTCTCACGTATGTTATGCATTTTATCTTTTATCAGCTATGACCCGGTAACTTACGTATTCACTTTGTCGGGCAACTTGCAAAACGTAGTGTATCAATGCAACAAATCAGGCGTTGAAACTGATGTGAAAATTCTTGAATCAATTGTCAATTGTTAGTGTATCACCGGTATCGGTGAGCGTTAAAAAGCCAAAAAAATGGCTTACTTCAAAGTGACCATTGTTTTACCTTGAAAACTGTCGTTTATTTGTTGAACGCACGAATTGCAGAAATCATGGTTTGTTAGAACAGCACCTAGGATATTTTTAGTACCTCTTGGAATGTAAAAATTGAGGTTAATGTTGAAAAAGATTCAATATCCGCAAATAAATTTTCAAAATTATTCCTATTTTTAGCAACGTTTTTGCGTGGTTGACTTAATGCTTGATGAAATAACCTTGATAATGGGTAGGGGATGTACCAACCGAGGTTCTTGATGTGGTGTTTGTGCTCCTTATTAAGCAATAGAAATACAACTTCCCCAGTTTCGATGTTGGAGGCTTCCATTGTTTTCGATGGTGTAATTTGATCGGATGCATATTTTAGATGCAAAAGGTGTTTTTAATCATCTAACAGATGTCAACACAACAAAACTGCCAGCATTTGCCACGACCTATCCATTAAACCCCCATTATTCTTTACGATGAACAGAACTTACGTTTTCAGAGTAAGGAGAATTGCTGAAGTGATAAGCTAGTTTGACGTTTCTCATTGTCAGAATTTATGTTGATTAAGACATTTTTTAATGCCTTGGTGAATTTTTATATATAATGTTTTGGTAGACAAAAAACAATGAGCTCAGAAACATTCTTAAACCTCATGGACCTGAACTGCTATCGTCGAAAACCTCTTACGCTGAGTTAGTCAAACTTGGGATGCTGCTTAAGGTCCCTGTAAGAAAAATTAAGATAGGAGTGGATTTTGGCGTCTCATTTGGAGGATGCGATTTTTTCTCGCCTATTGGACACGAAGAAGCCAGCTTCAAAGCATTGTGTGTAAGTATTAGTGTCCTTATGATGGCTAACTTGTTATTAAGCTCTAGTCGGAATAATTTAACAGTAAGATACATATTTTACAATTTATTGGCTGAATTATGGAATGAACACCCAGCTTCCCTACTACCATTCATTAGTAGGACACGCAACGGAATCTATCCACTGTGTAGCAAGTGGCTATGCAGGATTTCCTTTAAAGCACTGCTATAATTAGGAATAGTTAATCACGTGGTGCCTGACTTGTGTAGAATGGAATAGTGAGCAAATAAGCAAGAAGAGGTGGGCGTGTCAGACGAGTGCGCCCGCTTTGCCGCTTCGGGCTCTGATCAACAACTTAAGCGATCGTGTCTCATGCACTGATTCGAGCGAATTAATTTCAAGCCCCGATCCTGAATTGATGATGCAATTATCCGTTATTCAAAGTACAGAAACTTATTGTACGAGATTTGGATCATACATCAATGCTGTATACATCGATACTCGTGAATATACACACATCCACTGTTGTTCAGGTTATTCGTTCTGCCGTAGAAATGACGAATACAATTGCCACTCAAAGCTTCGAATGGCGCCTTAGTATACTTTCATATCTTCAGGATATTTCACCAGCGTACAAAACAGTAAGCGGAAATTACTTTCTGCTCTTAAATTACTTTATTAAGTGAAAGAATTACACAATAATTCCTTAAGGTAAAGCATCCTTCACAGTGCAAAGTTTTGGTTTCCTGCACTGTTCATCCTCTTTTAACGATGGAGGCATCTTCAAAGACTCTAGAGAGGACGAGGGAACGTGCTGCTCGTTTAATGTTTAACAGACTTAAGGGTGGAGGCTGGACTACCTCACCTTCACTTCAGAACTTAAAGAAGGTACCCATACTATGCTCTCTAAAAGCCAAGCTATTCCGGTAATGCTCATGAGATTTGGTATCTTTAGAACTTAAGGACCGTTCCCAAAAAACGAGAAGACGTTTCGCGGGGCAGTGAGAAATACATGGGGTCCCTTCACCCAGTTGAACGCCTCGATCTCAATTGTCGTGCTCGTGGCGCAAGGGCTCCAGTATACACTGAAGAGAAACAACTGACTTGGTTCCCACAATCAACGCCTACTCACCGAGCCAAACCTTTGAATCCAAAGTGTCCACTAATGAAGTTTCGGTATTTAGTAAGTCCTTGTCTTTTTTTTCGATAAAACATCACTGCTGTGTGATTTCTTCTTAAGCATTTCCTACACACGCAGGCTATTTTGAATGTCTGATGTAAAATAACTTCCGTATATATTATTATCAGGTTACGAGTCATTGTAGCGAAGGTTACTAGCCGCACATTTTTAAATCGCTTGCTGAATCCCTCGAAAAAGAAGGTCGAAATGGAAGCCGGACTGTTGTCGGTGTTATGCATATGTGGTTGACTTAACCTCGAAGATAACCATGGATTAGCTGACAATGTGAAGGTTCTGTTAACCCACCTTCGCCTAGTAAATACAGTCAGAGGTGCAATTTCCATACGATTTATCTGCTTTCGCTCAAAGTGCCAACTCGGTGATGCAGTCATTCTCGGCACCACATGCAATAACAAACGTCTTGCCAAGAGGGCGGCAGCTGAAATGGCACTTCAGTGGTTAGGCATCAATCCTTACCCTGGAGTAACCCCGCTTGCGTCTACCTCAATTCTCCATCAATCAGGTACATCTTGCATGAGGCACTTGAAGGCGAATGATCATTTCAGCGAATGCGTAGGGCTCAGCATGTTGCACCCCGCCGGTGTGTTTTTATGATCTCAAACGGACTTTTTGTCGGACTTTTGTTTCTGCGCTTCACCGGCCCAACATATCGCCAAGGGTTACCAAGCACTTATCGGCCAGGTTCTGTAACCCATTTTAAAATATTTAAAGTTCGGTGCCAATCTAAATGAAAAAGTCTATAATCAGCTAACGGTGCTTGTCATAAATATTGTTCCCAAGAACTGCATGATTTTCCCGTTCTAGCACTCAGTTTTTCCCACTATACATCAGGGCACATTGGTCGGGTGACATTTTACAAGAAGTACAACACCACCCTACCGACTGTCTTATACGATTATAGCTTCCCGCTTGCAAGCTTGGGACCATCATTGATAGTATATTAGGGTTTCGAATAAAATAGCCAACCTCTATGAAATGACTCATGTACACATTTTTACGAGTCTCGATTTCGCACTTACAGTTGCCGGAATTTCAGTCTGTTTTGCTTTTGGTTACAAACTCAAGCTACTTTCAAACGCTTACATGATGTTTACTATTAAATGTATGCATATATTTGCATGCTTATGTGTTCGTGTGGTGATGACAGTTCTAATAAATGCATGTGCCTCTAAAATAAAGATAGTTTGGGGAAATGGAAGCAAAGCTTACCCGGTCTGAATTTAAAAACGGTTTATTGATCGCAGTTTAGTTTGGAAGTTCGTCAGTCGTTGCCTTTTTGTCTCGCGAGATAGTTTCTAAGCCAAATTTCTTGTTCCCGCTAAATATATGATCACCGATCATCAAAGGCCAAATCCAGAGTATCATGACATGTGATTACCTGGTTTAAAATTAATTCATGTGTGCCAGTTATATGTAGAAATATTTGCTAATTAGAAAACCAGTCAGAATTAGCAAAAAAGAAGTAGTGGCATTTTCATCAAAAGAAATTCACTCTTTGGATCGATTAGCATGCGGTGATTGGAAGGCGTGTTTTGGAGTCTTTAACGGGTAACAAAGCTAAAAAAAGCAAAAGCCACTTTGAAACAGAACTTACAAACTTTATGCATTAGTGAAATTACGCAAACTTTGCCTACTGTAGAGAATTATTTTTCGGAATGTCTTGTGTGTGCCATCTGCTCTAACAATCTGAGTTTTACCTACTACGGCCCAAGGTCTATTGATAGGGTGCCTTGTCGAGTCAATTAGCATGTCCAAACACGGTAAGTTGGGTAGTGAATCGGTTTTCCATTAGGAAATTTGAGTAGGTGGCGTGCAGTAGTCAACAGTGTCCACTATCGATGATTTATAACATGCTTTCGGTTTTTTCTTCAGCCCAAGAATACCAAAGAACCAATGTCAAGGTACGTCTAGGTGACATTCCAGATTGGGATGATTTTCTCAGACTGCAAAATTGCAAAACAAATGGGTGGATATTCATTGGTTTTTGAAAGTAGACACTAAAATTCACTATCATCAGATGAAGTAAAGGTCATTTCGAAGTTGACATCAAAGTGACATCAAATTCAATGTTATTGTGAATATGAAATGAACCCCAAATCCATTTAGACGCGTAAAGAAAGTATAGAAGCTGGCTCAGTGCCTTATGCGCGTAAGGGAATTTGCAGGTTGGTTTCCCGATTGGAAATGGAACGTTCTTCAATGCAATCCTGGGACTGCTTAGTGTTCCTGAAGGGTCACATGGCAATCCGGTGGGTTCACGCACCTTATTTTTCAACCTCACTGCTAGAACAGCTAACTGCCTGTTTTGTAGGTACCCCTAAACCATTTTGGTCGCTGTCTTCCAATCTGTGCCATTGCACTCTAACTAACAAAGGCCTGACAATGAGCGCAAGTGTGTGAGGCGTCATTGAGCCCCTGAGGCTCCTGCAAAAAAATTCAACGGGAGTATCAAACGGGCACTAAGAAAAAATGAAACATTAAATGAGATCAGGCCACTACACACCTCTAGGTTGTGTTGTTTAACATAACACGGAATTAGTGCGTCACAGGTCGCAGAAATTGGCAACCAAAAGGTAATGGGGGCTTAACACGGTGGATTTTTCGATTCATGAATGCTATTCAAATTTTTTTATTTGTGCGAAGTGTACTTTTAGTGAAAAATCCGATTTGTGACTTCCAAGATATGACTAAATCCTTATTGAATCCTTAAGGTATTCACAGTTTATTTTTCAAATGAGCTTGAAAATTAGTCCAAAACATTACCCCAAAGTGCCAAAATACTTGTCATTATTTGCCCGTGTATATTTGGCAGTAAAATTGTATTCACTTTCTTTTGTTTAGGAAATGACAGTAACCTTCTCATCAACAAAAGAAACATTCATATTCGATTCTGTGTTCCCATCTAGTGCGGAATTTCATTTGCGAAATCACACCAAAAAGTACAGTTGCTTTTAGCATTACATTTTCAATTCCTTTTGGGTGTGAAGTTGGAGCTTTAGTGCCACTTTAAACACCGATAGGCGTTTGAGGCATCGACCGACATAAATGTCGGCCATTCTTGGTTTGTATCGTGCGATCTAGAGCTATAGGCTCCAAAGTTATATTTACAGGTATATTTAATTTCAACATACGGACCTGCCATTTTCTAAGATTATGCTTTTTATAGTTATGTTTGATGCTGCTTAAAGCATTTTTGCAGAAATAGTTTATATATAAGAATATTTCACGCAAATTATGTAAAAGGTAACTGGTTTTTTTCTATATTTACATATACGAAACACCTTTCAGGTCACATGATTTTTGGAAAAAATCTGGCCACGCAAGAGCAATTAGTAGATTCTGTCGACCAAGTGCATCAAGAAAAATTTCTCGCGCGACCGGTGTGACGCAGTTGGTATGAATTATTAGTACCTATCCTTTGATTTCATCAAACTTATGAAACTTTGAGTGCTGAAACGGGTAATGGTTTGGAAAATTTGCATGAAACGTAAGTAGAAATGGCAGAAAGATCTCTACGCGCTGTTCACTGCTGTTTATTGAAACCTCTGTAAAAGTGGTTTTTTTCGTCATCTGAGCTTCATTCAGAACTTGAGATAAATTTTGAGATTTCAACTTCTAGTGTGCTTGTGGGCTTGAATGAACTCAAATTCATTCCTAACTGTCCCTGTTTTTTAGTGCGGGGAATATTCAGAGACGCAAGAATCCGCAAAAGGTAAATGTTCCAAGTTGTGGTTCTTATCTTGGATTCTTAATATTGAGAAGTATTTCCTGATTCCAAATTTCCTCAGACCTTTTTCTCTAACTGATTACTATGTGTAAGCGATGTTATTTGCCTTCATTTTGTCATAAAAAGCCAGGTTAGTAGACATTGCCTGTTTGCGCATTCCATTTCGGCAATTTCTTACGTTTACGAGTTGAGTTGAAATTAGTTAATGCTTCAATAATTTCATTTTCAGATCTTTACGCAGAGTTAAAGAAATTTTTCAGCTACGACCACGACCAGGAGGGTGTTCACCATCCAGAACAGATTTCACGGGCTTCTCTACCTCCACAGGTAGAAGCAATATCGTGGCACATACTTTCCCACCTTAGCCACTTACTCACTTGCCCAACAATCGACCCTGATGTTGATCCACAGCTATTGCCAGTGTGCGAACACTTAGGTGCTCCTTGCGGATCGCCGGTAATTCACGCCGTGAGGTTTGCAAGGCATGGGACTACGTTGCATGAAGTAAGTACTCTTGTGTTTGGAGAAGATTGTCGTTACTCATTTGCTAAGAGTACTACGCTGCTACCAAAATACAATTAAATGTAATTCTTCTTGATAAATCCTGTGCACTAATACTACAGATCGGTGACAAGCACGCGGAATCTATCCTTTTGCCAGTCTTCTCCGATTGGAAGAACAAAATTCAAATTCTGCCCAATGGCCCAATTTGCGTGAGCTCTCATCAGAACGAAAAAGGTGACTGCTTTTTGTCAACTTCTGGAAACTGAGAAGACGGACAAAAATTCTTTAGAAATCCGTTTTTTAATGCCATTGGAGACTTTGGTAGTTAACCTACTTCTACATACATTAAATTTTCCAAAATTTGCCCTTTCTCCTCTTGGCTGAAAATACGTCGGTGGTCAACGTTGGAAGGCTTTCAGCCATGTTTTGTGATTGCCTTTTCAAAGAGATTTTGACTTGGGCCTCATTCACTAAATTTAGCACGGAGCCTTGCGCATTTTTGCTATAGCAACTGCAAACATCAGTCTGAAATTAAGTTGTAGGCTCGAAACTTGGGTTAGTAGTTAGTACTAGTTTTTTTTTTACAGAAAAACCTGATAGTGTTATTCTACCCGAAGCTAGCAAGTACGCGACTCCAATCCAATACTTTTTAAAAAAATGGTGCTTTACAAGCACCAATGTAAATTGCTGGGTCTTGCCTGATGTCGTGGTGAATTCCACGAAAGACATGATTAATCAAAAACTGTAGGCAGATTGATATCAAGATGTGTACTGAATGAAAAAAAAGTGAGAGCCCAACGTGTCCTACCATTCCCTCGGGCTAAACTTTCGAGTCTATTGCTGTCTACATGAGTTCAAACTGCTAAACATCCGAGCCACTGACAGCACACAACGAACCCTCCCAAGGATAGGGCGAGCTTCCTTCCCGCTAAATTAACAAATAATCATCTCACAGGCGATTTTAGTAGCAATCCACCTTTCAAGTTCTCAGTTGTTAGTGGTTTGTAGGGAATAGCATTAAGGGGATGCGGCTGAATATTCCAAAAACTAGACTGGTGATCTGCTTTGTAGTCAAAAATTGGTTTTACTTATTTTTATCAACAATTACTTGAAAAAAAACCCCATTTTAGTTTTAATATAGCAAAAGTGGAGAACGCGTACTTCGAAATAGATTTTGTACAATTAACGGGAAACGGAATATGGGGACGAAAGGTTGAGTAGAAAATTTCTTCAAGTTCAACTATCAGAAGAGGTAGATACACAGAGATTCACGGGAAAGGAAGCGAGGATCTCAAAATGCGACTCAATAGTGGGACAAAACGCCCCGGGAATTGAGTTCGCTTCGGTCAAATGGTCCCACCGGTGGCCCTTGTAGAAAGTTTCCACGTGGTAGGGCAGATTGAAAGTGCTTAGGATATGCAGAAACGTATTGAAGTCTCGGCGATTCCAAGGGCGATTTTTATCACACAACTAAATGCAATAGATATATTGAGTAGGGGGGAACGACGTACAACAAAGCAAACTACTGCTGACAATGCCTTCTTCAGCAAATTTTACACTATGTCGCTGCCATCCTTACCGATACATAGTAAGAATACCGCTCAAGATACCTGCTCACAAATTATGGCCGGAATAACTGGCGCAGCTGACCGTCTGAACATGAAATGTTACACGATGGGGCTCGTGCGGGTTGTGGGTGCAGTGAAGTGAGTACATACGTGGAAACCAGTTCTAACATTAAATGCAACATTCGGACTGTTGGTAGCAGCTCCCGTAAGTTGAAGAACAATTAATGTCCTTGGTGATTCATCGAGTACGCTGGAGTTTTTTGCAATAATTTGATTCGTTTTGGTCAGGTCCGGTAAATTAGTACGAACCAAAATGTGAATATACTTCACCACCTCTTTAATAAACTCATTACTTTACTTTTGAGCTCGACAATATTTAAATTGTTAGACCAATGTCAATGGGCCAAGTTAGTTATTTCAGTTAAATTAATGGAAAGTAGAGACATGACAACCGATTTCACCAGAAACAACGGGAAAAATCGAAGGCAATTATTTGGCAGTGCATACGTGCGTGAAAAAAACGACGAGTGCCAATGATGCTGACAAGTTAAATTAACCTTGGGACGAAGTAAATCACCAGAGCAATAAAGAAGACAGTATAACACAATACTTAACGAGAGTGGTGGTGGTGGTGGATTTTATATCTTACCAAATTAGGTAAATTCGATCTGATTTAAAAAAAAAACTTAACTATTGGGAGGAACCCCTAGAATTAAAACTAGTTTACCACCATGATCTCGGCAAGTTAATAATGATTTATACTAAAGCTGCTCTGAGCCAAGAGAGCAAGTAGGTCTTTGAGCTTGTGCTAGAACAATATTCATGCAAAATATAAAAAGACTTACCTCATATGGTGTAGCAAATACAAATAACTTGGGAATCGATGGACGATACTTTAGACGGGACAGCGCTACTGTCCACGTTGGCCATAAGTGAGTTTGACCATTGTGTCCTGCATCCAGCCAGGTTAAAGAAATTACCCGAGATATCAGGGGAATTCCTAAGAACACTGGTAAGTCGACATAAAGTCCCAATTCGTAAGTAAGCTGGGTAACGACGCACGCACCCTTTGAGAAACCAATTATCGCACAAGGACATTCGGTTGAAGCTCCGTTAACATATGTCACAGCGTTCTGTAAAAGGGCATCTAGGTGAAGCCATGCTGAAGTGGAGCAACCCCGGAGGCTGTGTACACCAGAAAAGTCAGGAGCTCCACTTTCATTGCAGCGCATAAAATTGTCGTAGCAAGCAAATGTTTGAAGAAGCCAGCGGGAGGCCCGGACTATCCACAGATGCACACCGCAGACACCTTCAAGTCGACTTAGGAGAAGCTGAGCCACTGACTCGTAACTCCACTTGTCTGCATAGCATCTGTTCTCAGGGCGGACACGCATTATGTCCGCTTCATTCTTCATGAAAAAAGTGGGTTTTGATCTTTGGAAGTTAGTGGCATGATATGAAATATGTATACTTACACTAAGATCTATTAAAGGTAGCGCCAAACTGACGAAAAGTAGCTCCTTCGGAAAAAAACTTCGACCAACGGGAACAGAAGGTAACCTTACGCATTTGCATTAATATGATAACAACTTCTGAGAACTGTCAAGAGAACTGAGCTGCGTAAGGAGCCACGTTTTGACGGCATGCTACATAATCCCGAAGGTCTAACAACGGCTTACGGCGTAAAAGCCCCAGAGCACTAAATCTGCCAACACAAGCAGACCCCTTGGATCATCCCATAATGCCAAATATGTTTCGTTATTATAACAAGCCTTTTAGATTTCTTGTTCACAAAAATTGGGAACCACTACCGCTCTTATGGTAACTTGGTTTGCGGAACAAGGGAAGGAGCCTTGTCTAAGCCCACAGCCAAAACACAGAACGTTAGAATATGATGCATTTACATAATAACCGAATTTAAAGTCGCTACCTGAGATTAGTAAATCAGTTGGCAAATTAAAACCACGAAAACACAAGCATTTACAAGTTTAGAAGTACAAAGTTGTTTACCTGAATATCACCACCAAAAAAAACAATATTAACGATGGGGCCAGAACCGCATGATGAAAAGAATATGTCGTTGGTTAGGTGGTCGCGCCCTTCAACACCTGGAAGGCGAACAAGAAAGCTGCTACTTTCACATGCCATACAACACGAATAATGGCAGATCAAGGTCGGACATGCTAAATGTACTGTGGTGTGGTGTAGTGTGTGGTTTGGTGTGGTATGGCGTCGGATTAGGGCGCAAACATGTTTGACCACCTGGCCTCAGCCAATCCCGTGTCTATCTGCGACCCAATGGCATGCGGGAAAGGAAGGCAGCCAACCAGAGAAGGACATGGATGAGATGCAATATATAGCGAGCGGCGTGGCCAGCGTGGTGGACTCGGATGGAAGGCGCCTGACGTGTGGCTCTGGTTTCTGATTGGTCAATAAAGCCTGTTCTGTTGTACCGGTCTTTTTCCTATTACGGCTCGGGTATTCTACACTGGTGGCAGCGGACGCGTTCGAATAACGCAAATCGAACCCCAGCCCTTTCTCTTCAGTGGTCAACACAGGCAAAGACCCTTAAATGCCAGCTGAAATTGTCATGGCGATCATCCGATGTCCAATAAACTGGATCCATAGACATTGCCCGGGATTAGGACTACTGCGTCTGAAGAGGCACTGGCAACTCAGCGACGACGACTTGGACAGTGAAAGCCAGCTGGACTGCATCTGCGAATGGACCTTCAATGAATTATGAGTCTATCCTGCAAGTCTACAATAGCAAAGTCCCTCGTCAACTATTCGCGTGGGCCACTAACCAGCCAGATGTGGGGTGCGGAAAGTGTCGATTTGGATATTTTACCACTCATGAACAGTGCATTGAACCAAGCCAGAAGCTGAGGACAGCTTCACTGCTGAGGGGGAGGCCGTGTGACGTCGGATCGGGGCGCAGGCATATTGGACCACCTGGCCGCAGCCAATCCTGTGTCCCTCTGCGTTCCAATGGCATGCGAGGAAGGTAAGCAGCCAACCAGAGAAGGACACGACTGAGGTGCAGTATATAATGAGCGGCGTGGCCAGTGTGGCGGTCTCGGATGGAAGGCGCCTGACTTGTGGTTCTTGTTTGTGATTGATTGATAAATCTGTTCTGTTGCATCAGTCTCTTTCATACTATGGCTTGGGAATTCTACATTAGTGGCAGCGGATGCGTTCGCATAACGCAAATCGAAACCCAGCTCTTTTGCCAAAATGTAAATCGGGGCAAAGACCCTTTAATGCCAACTAAAGTTGTCATTCTGCAGTGAATCATGACCAATTCTGTTTGATAACTGGATCCAACCTTCATAGTTTAAGTGTCACACCTATTGAATCTGTACCAAGGATTGGTGGCTATCAGCAGGACACCCATTATATAATTTTACAAGCACAATTTACGATAAGCTACATTACATTATAACAGCAATATACAGAAGCTGGAATATTCCAAATAACCTAATTTAGTCCAATGAAAAATGAAAATGCTAAAATGTTTGGCCTAGATAAGATGAACAGGCGGTAGATTGGCAATAGGATTTTGAGCGCAGTCTTAAAGCTGAGCACCATGTTCTGGAACCGACTCGCTCGAACGTTGGCTTAACGTAATATGATCAATCGCATGGAAACGCCAAGTGACAAATGGACTCCAGGAGGGCATGGGATGGCAGATTGGCTCACGTTATATCTTTTCGGAGTTTGTGACTGCTACTAGGCAGGAATTGAATATGCGTGACATTTAGTTCATTTCTAAAACACAAATAGCTTTTCCTTAAAGCTCCGTTATTTACTTTCTACATATTTATCGTTAACTACACTACTTACACCTTGGTAAAGAAATTATGATGTTAACGGAGTGACTGCACAACAAAGTACAAAATCTGTGGAGTCGACGCAGGATAAGACACAAAGCCGTGTATTATCGAAGCCGGGAAATATTAATGAGTGCTTAATGTTTTATGGTGCTCTCGGTATAATCAAAATGCACCTTTCCAACCACATTGGTAAATTTTCCAAGGTTTGATAATATATAAAAATACCGGACAAAATAATATTTGCCTTCGATCCACAAATTAAATTGAAAGACATTGCCCTAAAACTGTGGACAGGTATAGGTCTGCATAATTCTTATGCAATTGCAAATGAATTTTTTTATATTTGTTTGTGATGCAGTTAATATACAAGGGATTGAAAATTATGTACGTGAAGGATTACATGCAATTTGGGGAACATTTAACTACTTCTTTTGCTTCGTTCCAAATGTGAATTTTTGCCATTTATTAACATTTCACTACGCTACTTATAGACGCGTTAAAAGTTCTTTAGCTGTTTTAAAATAAAATCAAACGGAAATCAGTTTTGTATACCCTTTTCTGTTTAATTCTGGCTTTTTTAATTTGTCAACTCAGGTTGCCATGGTGACATTCGCCTTTTTGAGTACTAATGTCGCACGAGTATGTTCGATTGTTGCCAGTTATCTTCTTAGGTCATATAATTATGAATGGAAAATAGCACAATCATGTTTGGAGGAGTTGCTGCTTACGGAACCAAATGAAAAAACAAAGCCTACAAAGGTATTTCACCGGCTAATGTTTTGGATTTTGTAGGACCCAAGGGCAGCATTCGTTGTTTGCGCCAAACTGTTTGTTCGTTATATTCAAATATTTCGAACTATTGAAAAATGCTATGACCAAATAGTCCATCCCCAAAAAAGACTACTTTTGCGGCGAGTGTTAGATGGTGTTATTGGAAGGATTATTGAATTGAACGAAGAAATGAGAAAGCTGGAGCTTGCTGATTACCACTATTTCGATGATATTATTTGTGATCTACAGCTGACTCCTGCTGAATTACAAGTTCCAATACCGAAATATTATGTTGTCGACGTTGAGAAAGTGATTAAGGATCGTCACGCTTTTATTACTAACATCCGAACCCAAGCAGAAGCTAGCAGTGTAAAGGCAAGCAGAACACACGGTCACATAACTTTTTTCATTAATCTAGCGTAATTTGATTAGTCCGGGTCAAAAGTAGATAGCGTACATTACCAGGTAACAAAAGGTTGTATGATAAGCCTTCAATGTCAGGTTTTCCCTTCAAACGACTGACTGGTGTCTAAGTTAAAAGGTGCTGTTATTTGAAGTCCGATTTCATTATTGAAAATAAGACAATTTTGTTCAAACGCCTGTATATACCTCAGTATTAATATAAACGTCATTCCAGCAGGTTGCTGTGGTCTGGTAAATGATATTTGGATTAACCATAGGTTTATATAATGCTCTGAAGCAATTTTCTGAGAACAAAATGACACTTTGACTTCTGGATCAATATTATCATCATAAAAACGTCTAGACGTTTACAAGTATTCACCTTATTTAGTAAGATGTTGCGGGATTAACTACTGTTCTGTTCAAGACATCTTTAAAACGGTATCAACACAATCTTAGTAAACCTAATATTTTTTGCGGACTGAAACCAAAGCACTCTAACACTGATATTGGATTTTTTGATATGCATGAAGCAAATGCGACTCTCTATTTTGCTCACACCCATGACATTTGTCTTATACATTTCCCTATTCGGTATGGACAGTTATTTAGGTACCTTTGCGTAAAGTGTACGTTCGCTTATTTGACTTTGGGCACTGGGACTTTATTCAGATGCCGAATTTCAAAATAGTTGAATCGTCTGCTGAAGCTTTCAGGTCAATAATTCATCATCTGTAGTTGAGTGGTGGTAAACATCCGCTGTCATTGACAATCTACTCATACGATTTATGAACATCTGTTCTAAGAACTGCATGTAAAAAGATGCCGGCAAAAGAGCCAGGTTTTATTTAAAATTTATAGTAGGGAAAAATCAATGTACTTTTCTTCATAGCACCACCTTGTGTGACAGATGCCTGAAATTGTAAGTGCACAAAGGTAAAGAAATGAGATTTCTAAAGTGTGGAGTGCAGAAATTGGACAGACTTTGAATATTAGTCAAGATTGGGTTATTTGTCGTACATAAAGCTAATTTTTTGGTTAGCTTTATGTACGGCAACAATTCCTGTGTTCTCTATTATTTATTTACGAAAATGCAATGAAAATTATTTCTCCCATGAAGGAAAAGGAGCCGATATCCATAATTGAGGCTGTATTGGTTATCCAAAGACATGAGCGAGCGAGACAAGGCCGACTGCGAGCAAAGTATATGAGGGAAATTCGATTGCAAGAAGAGGCTGAAATGAGTCCAGCCCAGCGCAACAGGGAATTACCAAGCCCAAAAGATGCTGCCATCTTGATACAAAAGGTTATTTACATGTTGTGGAATAATGCATCACGAAGTACTTAGGCGACTAGACATGTCTACAGAGCTGATGGACATAATTTAACACGATTCACTTGTCCCGTTAACTTTATTACAATGGGAAAACTTAGCTTTGGTAAGCACGTTAGCATGCGTTTTGTAGCTCTCTAACCTAATTTACTGTTGAGGTTTCAAAAAATAATTGGCGGAGCAAATAAGTGGTTCAGTCGTGGTCTTAGAATGTGGAAGCGATACTTGCGTTACATTTTTAAGGAAAAAATGGGAGAATTATGAATTATGACGAGCTTTTTCGTTTAGAACTGGAGAGGATACTTAGCACGTCAGTACTCAAGAAGAATGCGTCAGGATGAATTCATTTGGCTAGGAATGGCAAGTATTATCTAACCCTGATAGTGTTTAAAGTTGTTTCAGGCTAGCAAATATAGCATTATTCATCTTTAATTTTATTGAAAATTAACCAAGGAGCCCATGAATCCTCACTACAACACGAATGTATCAAGTACAGCAAAAATGGCCAAGAGAATAGAAAACTTGCGACGAGTTGCGCAGAGCATGAATCAGAATGAATACGAACAAGCATTAATTAAACTGAAGGAGAAAATTCGTCAAGCTGAAGGAACTGACATGCAAGAACGCATGGAGGAGCAGATACGCCAGTGGTTTCTTCAATGCAGGTGGATAAAAACCTTTTGTGTGGTTAAAATTATCCCATTACACGTCAATCTATCATATAATTTACACGATGTCATCTATTGCGAACAAAATAATCTGAAACAAGATAGTTCACTTGCCATTGGTGAGACAAGTAATATACACTCTGGTAACCTCAACTTCGGAAGTAGCCTGTAATGCATTTTGAAATCAAAGTCGATCTGGATTCAGTTGAAGCAATCAGTTGCTTATTTTAATTATGATTCTTGAGATCAAATGATTCAAGTCTTAGTTTTGGGGTTTTCCTACAGATAGATAACCTGCTCAGTAATGCAGTCAGAGGGATCAGATCTGCTTAGATCGATTAGTACTGAGCTTATTTAAGATCTATCTACGTTTTTCTCCATGTTTTAAACTACTGGCTTGCGGCCTAGTTTAAGTCTGGTGTACCATTGAATGAGAATAATTACTTGAAAACCTATCCAGGTTCACTCACAATTTACCTATGCTCGAAATTCAGCCTTCTCGCTCGAGTCAGGCTTTGGATTGTTTTTTTTTGCATCATCTGTTTCCAATACAACTTATATTGCTACGTTTAGCCCTATTAAACCAGTCCTGATTCTGTGGAGTGCTTGCAGGCTGTAGTGCCCTCAATTGTGTTTTGTTTCAAAAAGAGATGTCAACGGTGTCTTCCCGGACTACCCGACCGTAGAAGAAGGTGGCTCTCGTTGGCTCTTCAAACAGAAACCACCTGAGCTTTTGGCGCAAGAAGAAGCGGAGAGGGTGGGTCATTGCTGCTTGTCGTCCATTCGTACTACACACTGACGTTATAGTGGATAAAAGAGATGAAATTGCCCAGGGCTCTTTACTATTTAGTTGATTTGATTCTACCCAATCAGCCTAATACTACCTCGGCAACACTCGTAGCGCAATAAATTATGTGGGCTTACAGGATATAGTAGTTTTCAAAGTGTATCTGTCTGCCTTCCCCATATTAAGGAGTTGACAGGATGTCAAATGTTGTGATTTTCTAAATTTGTGTGAGAAAATGTGGGATCAAAGTATGTGGTTTTTTTGTGTGAATTGAATGTCATTATGTTTTCTTGGATGGCTTTAAAATGTAATTGATTTGGTGAAAACATCTGGGCTTGTCTTGTAACATTTCCATCTGCCTTGCTTATCAAAATTCCACCTTACATCGAGACAGCAGAATTTTCTTCGGCATTCTGACTTATGGATATGAATTCTTAACAGCTTGCAGCAGAAAGAAAGAAAATGGAAAAAGGACAAAAGAAAGGTGACAAAAAATCGGGAGATAAGAAGTCGGTAAGCTCGTATTCGCGACGTCGGGGGAATAAACTCCCTATGTTTTGCTAAAATCTGATATTTTGACCAGTGTAAACGATCGTTTATTTGATTTTGACCATGCGTGGCAGGTAGAATTCAGTTGGAGTAAAAATCTATAGTGTAGGCTCTCAAATTTACACTTTCACCCCTTAACCTAAGAATCTGCACTCCGACTTGTGTGCAACAATACGAATCAGTCAATGAGAGGTTGCATGGTAGAGGAGAAGGGTTAACAAATCCGAAGTCGTTTTTAGTCAGTGATGTGTTTCATTAACTTAATAATAAGATTTATTTTTAGAAAGAACCTGAAGGCTGGCTCATGCACCCCTCCGTCTTTATTGAGGACCTAGTGAATGGCTGCAAAGAATACAATGGTAAACGCTCGGCGGGAAGATAATTTTTGCATGGAACTGAGATGAATACCTTCTGAGTCAGTTAGCAAGTTCGGTTTACCACCTTGTAATGCTCGTTTATAAACTGACAGACAACCTAAATCGTTAAAAAGAGAGTTCAAAGAGACCGAGAACGGAAAGACATGCACAAATAGCTTTGCAGAAATCTACAGAAATACACCACTCACTTATAGAAGGAAGCATCCACATAAAAAGTAATGCAATATATGCATTAATAAAGATTCACGCTGTCTTGAAAGTTAAAACAAGCATTTGTTCTTGAATGTCTTAAAAAGCGTTAGCCAATTATATTTTCTTGATTGTCCCACAAGATTACTGACATGAATGCTTTTGCACTTTCTTCTTCTAGATGTATGGAAAAGTCGTGAAGAAGGCGATAATTTCTTTCAAAGATGTGATGAGGAAATAATTAAGGCTGACAAGCGGACAGAACTGGATCTGGAGATTCGAGTCCATGTAAGCGAAACCTATTCCATGATTGCGACCACCACGCGAACTTCCAGATCGGCCTCGGGTCCAAGGTAGGAGGCCGCTCAACTTCAGTGAAGCTTTTTGTTGAAAAACCGTAAATTGATGAGGCCCCGTTTCACGCTCAAATAGCGCTTTTTGAAGCAGTAACTCAATTTTTAGTTGCAAACCCTAACTCAACCAATGGCATGTGGTAGCACAGTTATACAAACCGGACTAGGGCTATGATTGTTGATGCTGTGGTTGGTTTAAGAATAGCCTAATTTTTCGTTTTTAGGTTGACGAATTAATGAGACAAGAACTGCGGAACTTAAAAATCGCCATTGATGAAGAAAAACAAAAGCGCATAAATAAAAAGAAGGTCAAAAAGCCCAAAGGTAAAAAGAACAAGGGCAGAATGAAGGACATGACAAAAGACAGGTGTGTTTGCTCGATTTACTTCGGTTTCTTTGCCCGTTACAGCTCACTAGAACGGTAAGAAATCAAGTGTCATAATTACAGTTGAATTGAAGCGGATACACTGGGGACTATCGAAGGACTCATAAATACTTGGCATAACTCGCGGATATTCCCCACATCATAAATGGTTGAGTGTGCAAACAATCCATCGAACCATTCACCAATTTCCTAAAATCTTCCATATTTCTAAAACTAGCTTTTGTTTCATTTGAGAAAAAAAAGACAGCAGGCATTGATAATAAGTAATACTTACGACTGGCTTGAAACATGTGGGTTAGAGTAAAGGGGATCCCCCATGGGTTTACGCCTTCGTTTCTGGACTTCCGCAGGTCGTGTTCCGTTTAAGTGATGGCTAAAGAGGGAATCGCCTCTTTCCAAAATGACGACTGACGGCCCATTGTGTTCGCGGATTTTGGATGCTTTAAGTGTTCCAAGTGTTGTGACTGTGCATAGATTCAAACGAAGCAGAAACTGGTGCCGTTCAGGGGAATTGACAGTCGTCACACCACCGGGAGCATGCATTGAAGGTCCACTTGTCCTGGTGTGCAAATTTTTCAAAAACTATCTTTTGACGACCCGAAGTGATACTTTGACTTCCACTATTATTTTGATTGATCTTTCATGCAACGCCCGTTCGTGCGAAAGTGGCAGTCGTTAAGCAGTGAATATTCCATTCCTAGTGGGATTACTACCGGCAAAATCAGACATAAGCGTTTAAACTGGTAACTAAATTGCGCACAGGTACTTGTGGAAAAATGAGGCATTATAAAGGACAATCGACGATAGTTAACGTCCAGTGGAGGAGAACTGTGTAGCACTTCCCGCCCTGTGCTTAATAAATATTCCATTTAGACGCGAGGTCTAATTTTATTGCTGACCTGTCCGTTTAGAAAAGAAGATTTATTTTTACCTTTTAAGAACACTGGAGTCTGTTTATGAGGAACTTGTAATTGAAAACGTGATAAAACGACCACAGAAAATAACACTTGATCAGTATTACGGTGAATACTCGTATCTTGGCACAACGTTAAGAACCAACATGATTGAGCCTCAGCCATCTTTATTTGACGTCAAACAACTGGTCGCACTGTACGGGATACTGCCTCTTGGTAAGCATGTATATTTCTGTCTGCCGACTCAAACGACTGTTAAATTTACCTGCCATAATTAATCTTTAATACTCAATATGAAAATTAAAAAATACGGCCGGACTTCATACAAGAAGAACATATCCTCGATCTTCATCAGACAGCCATGTAAACCATTTCAAACCGTTCACTTGGTTAAAAGGTTAACAAGTTGCTACTTGTCATGCCTTATTTTACTGAGGTCGCCATAACCGGAAACATGCTTTGGGCAGATATTCTTGGACCAAGTTCGGTCCATACTCTCCACACCCTTTCAACAAAGCGTGATCTTTATTTAGGCTTGCAAACATAAGAAGGGTGAAATCGCATACTTCTACGCAAGTTATATACTCATCGTGGTTCTATATCGTCTTATTCTTTTGTAAAAAAGCGTTTTATCAAATGGCCTATTTCGTGCAGGCAAAACGTGTGGATGCAGATATCAGTCCTTTCAATAGTTTGAGGTGAAAACAGTCTTCAATGGTTTTATATATTTACGTTACTACAGCTCACATCTTTACTGTGCTAAGTGACGCGGGACCTCGTTTAAGCAGCGCTGTAAGGCGTCAAGTGTTTCCCAGGCTCATCAACATGTCTAGTACTCTAAGGAATCCCTCTTTTAAGAGAATCGCATTTCCAATATAAATAGGTAGATATACACTGTTCGAGTTCCATCAACAGACTCGATACAAACCTTTACACCGGATGGGGCTTATAAATTGTTCAGGTGAGTTAATATTTATCTGGTGGTAGGTGCTCCGGAGGTTCACAAGAGAGCTGCTCTTATACGCTCCATCATGCTAGCCGGACCTTCAGGAACGGGGAAAAAGATGTTGGTGCATGCCATCTGTACCGAAACAGGGGCGAACCTCTTCGACTTGACTTCGGAAAACATCAAAGGAAAATGCGATACTAAACACACAACTCGTCTTCTCATTAATATGGTCTTCAAAGTCGCCCTCCTATTGCAACCATCTGTAATCTTAGTGGATCAGTGTGAAAGAATGTTCAGTAAAAAGCTTCCAAAAGCGGATAAGGTAGGAGCAATCTTAGCATTAAGAATGGTCTTTTAATACTTACACCTGCACAGACCCCAAAAATACCCGATTTTGCTGGCAAATGTAATTTAGCCACACTGAAGTTTCAAAGATATCCGAGCAATCGAGTTTCGAATCTAGGCCGAGGCAAAACGCATGAAAACAGAGCTTTCCAAAGCCATGAAAACAATCAAGCAGGGTGATCGCGTTCTCCTCGTGGGCTGTACAAACGCTCCGTTCGATGCCCAACAGGCGCCTTTCTGCAAGCTATACGACCGCATAATTCTTATCCCACGGCCAGACCACGCTTCTCGATATCGTAAGTTTGGTTGGTGTAGACAAGGTTGCCTAAAGCAACAGTTGAATAAAATATCTGGGGCAGTACTGAAAAGTACTTTGGACATAAGCACTACTAAGCTTTACATTTCCTGTACTAAAATGCCTTACATAGCAGCTTATTCAAAGGACCAACTGCTTCCGACAGTGGTCTATAAATATGGGCTATTTTGTGGTTCAATGCAACGTTCATCCAAGGATATGGCCTCCACCGAACTTCGTAAATTGAGACAAAACTTGTTCCACTGAAGAAACAACGCTTCAGTTAAAGCAAATTTGGCCTTAAGTGCCCTGTGTAATTTAAGTGAAAACATGCTTGGGCGCAAACGGGTACCAGCCACCTACGCTAAATTCATCCTAATACCACATAATCATGCCGTTATTCCGTCTCATTTCATCCGAGACTTGGCTATGCCCACAAGACTAGGGTGCAAAAATAAGCCACGTCCTCCGAGTTAGTGTGGGTGTGGATTGTGGACTGGAAGGCTGGTAACATACTAGGATGACCCTTGCAGAAAATAAAAAGCATATATTGCAAGATTGATTTAACGATCTTAGTTAATTTAGTCAATCAAACAATCACCCTGTTTGATTTTTAACCCCTGCAGTTATATGGAAAGTGCTTATTGTGAAACATGGGGGCGTCCTAACGAATGCTCTTGACATTTCATCTCTGGCGAAGATCTCTGATGGCTACACAATGGGGATGATGGCGAAAGCCTGCCAGGAGGTGCTAACGGAACGTAGAATAGCCCAGTTGGACAAAGAACCTCTGGTGGCATCGGAATTAATCGCTCCACTCTCTCGTATCGACCCCGTCTTTGGGGAGGAAGAGAAGGCTTACAAGGTAATAATTTTGAGCGAAACGGCAATGCCAAATAACTCAATCGTATAATCGGCTGACTTAGTTTACCAGAGTGTATACCCCTGAGGTCACCATTTACTCTACCATTCATGTTCGAAAATAGGAAATGAGCTGCATACTTCATAAATTTTTTGCCCCAAAATCTGTTTTGCCTTGTGTTTTGGTTGACAATTAGCTAGGTTTAATGTCGCCAAAAATGCAGTACAAATAAATGAACAAATTAAGCAGAGGTAATAATTCGCTTCAAGCAAACATTCAGATCCTGCACTTTGAAATGACGGAGAAGTCCACATAGATCTGGAGTACTTTCAACCCACAGCACGTTTCCGTCAAGTGAAAATCACGGTACCTGAGAGACGTTTGGGTTTTTCCCAAGACGATTCAAAATTTCACGTAGAAACGACTTCAAATAGTCTTACTTTAAGTTTTAAATAGCATCAAGCGTAGTGGAAACTGGTCTTGCCGCTGTCGTTAAAGATTCGTGATCATGAGACGCTCATGTTTAGAAGATACAGAAGAATAACGGTTAGTGTGACTGTCTACTTCACAGCACTGCCGAACTGCACAAAGTGTATACGCCTGAGGCCATTAAATCTTTGCAAAATTTAACTTAGGAGTAGGGTAAAAATTCGCAGTAAGGGGAAAAAAGAAGCAGACATTTAACTACGGTGGAAATCCTCAGTTACTTGTTCAATTTTTGCCTAACAGTACTTTAGGGACGTCAATAGGCTTCGAAGGATTAGTTTATTGGCAAGACTACACACTATCCACCAGTGAAACATGGTACAATACTGAAAGGTTGCATCTGTTTGCAAATGAAGCCATGACAAAAAGGTCAACTTAAGTTTTCTCCTTTTTTAATAGGCATGGTATTCCAAGACTCCATTGGGAAAAAAGAGGATGAAAGCTATCGCCGAGGCAAAGGAGGCCGAAAAGAAAGCGGGCAAATCAAAACGCTAATAGACACAATATACTCACAACTACTAGTTCTACCCTGAGCTTCCTGTCACGTCTGCACACATCTCGCACACACAGTGTAATGAAGACTAACCGGCGATCCGTTCGGAAAGTGGCCAACTACCCAAAGGGCAGGTTAGGCATGCTGATTCGGGTCTCGACAACATGGGACCAAGCTGATTAGCCAAAAACAACGACCTCATGGCAATTCGTAGCCTTTATCCGAGTCAAACCGACTTCACACTAGTCACATCTAACACAAAGTATGGAAATACCTCCTGAAAGATCTTTAGAACAAGTTGTTTTTTAGCAAATTTGCTGGAAATGTACGAAAACATGGATTCAGAGACTGTGGTACTTCGGAAATTTGAGACCGAGCATTCGAACGAGTACCGTGGCTGACGCTATGGTACTCTGACGCTATGATACTCTCCAGATGTGTTCTCATTTGGAAAATGTGAAATACAAAAAACAATGATGGCGAGCCGGTTGTCGGTAGCAAATTGCATCAACGCCCACTAATTTGGAGAATGCCACTAAAAGTTGTAAAGACGCATTTTCCTCCGGTTGGGTGGTGGCTTACAAAAGACAGGTTTGAAAACCAAAATAACCAAATCATACAGATTTAGGAACTGTCATGTTTTTGCAGTGAATAGGTACGTTAGGAAGGAGCAATCTATAAAGTAATCCAAAATTGCCTATATCATTGTAAAACCAAGCTATTGCTAAGACTGGCCGTAGTGCAAAATACAAAGATCCTCAACTTCGTTTGTGGTAAAATGGGTATACACAAAAAAAAGTGTGCTTAGGGGTTGAGGGGATAAATGTCCTAGACAGCTTCCTTAGGAACTTAAATTAGATGTTCGGATGCGGTTGTTTAGACCCTGACGGTTCCTTGCGATTTCGATAGCGAGAAATTGAATGCGAGGAACTGCAAGGAAATCAAAACCAATGATTAATTATATACAAGATTTTGTCTGCAACTGTTAGCTACACAAAACACGCACTGGTTTTTTTGTGGTATAAATTCATCGTAGGGCTAACAGTAACCTATAGATATCTACATTGTCGGCTACATGCTAAGAAAAATAACTAAATTATAACAACTCTCGCTCATCTAAGAGAAATTAGCAATATTGAGATAGGAGAGCTAGCTTCGTTTAGCTTTGGCACTGCGTTCGATTAAAAGCAATTTTTTTAAGAACTCAAACTAATTTCGGCAAAAGTAATGTGTACCGGTATGATGACCAAGTTACCCATGGCCAAGTCACCTGCATATTTGCTCGTACGCACTTCAATCGCCTTAACTAGATGGAACTAGTTAACCTTTTATGTACACATATATGACACAGAAACTGCTTCGAGATAAGTTGCTGAGGATATTTTTATGACAGTTACATTAATAAAATAAAGGCAAATCGAAGCTCAAAAATATCAACTAATAGAATTGGGGGATCAAAAATTGATAGATGAAGCCACAAACATAGCTACAGTGTATATCTTTTTTACCAGAAGTCAATAGGAAACAAAGTCCACGCCGTAGATCAGGAAGACAGTCGGAAAGGCATTTACATGAACTCACCAACACAAGTGTTGTCCTCGTCATAGCCCCGAGCCGAGTCTAGCCTCAAGAGAGTTGCAAAATTATAATCCCCAAAAATCTTCTCAAATTTGGTGCAGAAAGATCGCCAGAGCTGATAAGAATATAGAACGCCATGTAAAGTGTGTTTCCAGATACCAGATAGTTCCCCAATGTTGCAACATCGGCCAAACGAGGCAAGTTAGCAATTTTGACCTTTTTTTACTCCAAAGCGGGAACGACTTTGCAATTTTCATTTAAATTATTGGCTTTCAAAGAAGAAGAATACTCATATTGACTAAGTTGGTTGCAAATGACGTAAATCCGTTACTCATTCAACAAACCAGAATAATCACACCCAACACAACATACGTCCATTTAGTAGCGACACTATTTACCGACCAGTTCATCAACCTAAAATTAGGCTTACATAGCATGGACCGGAATCAAAAGGAAGTATTACTTAGGTTTTAAATTACTAAAAGAACGACTGTGTAAGTGCTACTTAAGTTCAAGTGTCAATTAGTAAGCTATGTTATCTTTGGGATGAAAAAACTGACAATAAGTCCGTAGAGAGAGCACAAATACCCGGACCCGTGACTTAAACTTTCAAATCAAAACTTCATCTGGTTCTCAGTAATTATTGTGTGAACTTATGAAAAAACGTGAGGCCAATGTCAGTTAATGTTGTTGAGTACCTAGAAATTTCTAGACATTAACCATTTTACATTCCAGATATAATGCAGAGACTCAGTGGGTATTATTGTAGCGCACATCACACTAGTTTGACCAGCGCTGATCCATAAAGAGTGTAGACTTGCATGCAGAATTTTAACATTCTTTTTGAGGAAAATGTTGCATTATAACTCAGAGGCGTTCTATATATTTGCAATTTGAATTAGTAACATGATGTTCATGAAGAAATTAGTATTAAAAAACCCCCGAGGTTACCTCTTTTTGTTGGTCTGATTTTATGTCATCCTCAGTAATGCAGTCGACATTCATGCCTGGGAACATTTCGCGAAATGCTCCATAAATCTTTTCATCAATTAGTGATAGTCGCAGATAACGAGCATCTGGAACAACACAAAGCAAGTTGTAATGCGTTTCGGCATGACCGTAGGCCGCAACTGCCCATGACCTCTCCAACACCGCCTGTTGCAGCAGAATACACAAATTATTGGTACGGAATTAATTCTAGAATACATTATGATAAACCGTTAATTAAAATGCAAAGGTTGGAGAAATATGAACAAATAGACGTGATTTCTATGGTTTTATTTTCTAGAACAAGGAATTGTACTTAGTTGTCAAAAAAGACATAAAAAACAATGACACCAAAGTGTGAACATTTGCAGAGGTACACTTGACGTTATTAAACTGTAAGTCCGACTAAATGAGGTTTTGGACACGAGTTTAACAATCAAGTAATGGGCGCCCAAAGTTGTGTGAGACCAGTCAAAAAATCCCAATCTTCGCAAGCTAGAAATTACCAATACAACATCATAGGCCGCAAAATGCATGCAAGTTAATCCTTGCTAGTAAAAAATTTTGTACTGAAAGAGGAACATTCATTAACCACCAAACGCCACATACGGGATACGATTCAGAAATCAGATTTATTGGATTGGAAAACTGCAGATTAGGCCTGTGTGATCAATTTCCTGTGGGCAACACATGCATTACATTCATCAATCATACGAAAAACCCACCCAGACGGGAGGAAGCTATTGGGCAAAAAGGTACAGGAAATATTTCCTTTTTTAAATCGGTCATAGAAGTACCAATAGCTAGAAGATAAGCAAATGCTAATATCAAAGTTTAAACGTGCAACTTACGTCGTTTGTGTAACTATACGGGTTTAAGTCCATTGATTACCGCTTTGCGCTAAGGCGCCACCGCAGTCCACATGCAGTGCAATGTGGTATGGTGTGGTGTGGCGTCGGATTAGGGCGCAGACATATTGGACCACCTGGCCTCAGCCAATCCTGTGTCTCTCTGCAATCC